TTTACATATGCAAATGTGAGAATACTGAATTGTCTGCTTTCATTTCCATAATGTGAATCATGAATGCGCCTTAGATTGCTGGTTGATTTCCAGCTATGCTCAGCAACAAAATCCATATTTGGCACTGTAAAAAGGAACAAAGATTAGAGTTTTGTAAGGAATGCCAGATTATGCACACACACACACACACACTGTAGCAGACACACATATATGCAGAAAAACACACATACTTTTCATAGGCAAGTGTATTGTGAAAGAGTCCTATGATTGTGAATTACTTTACCATGACTGTTTTGATGAAAATGTATTGCCTTGTCCTTGGAAATGTGGCACAGCAGTCGATATGGTTCTACAGACTCGGTAATACTCTCCACTGTGAAGGGAACAGACTAAAGACGTTCTTCGACTGATGAAACAATAGAGGGAGGTATTCTTTTGCCAAGTCTGCATTATTGGATTTGGATTGTAACATGGTAGTATCAAGTTAGGCTGAGAGGAGCCTCTGAATATCACGTTGGAATCACAATAGACAAGGGCTGATTGTTATTGCACCGCACTTCCATTAATAATTCAATCATTTGACCCGTGACATGATTTCCCATAAAACAATCTGATCCTCCGAGGGCTGATAGAGATATTTGAAATCTGTGTGTGTGTGTGTGTGTGTGTGTGTCTGTTTTGACCTTCCCAGTATGACACAGAACTACTGCCCAAGGCTACAAGTATAATATTTAGAGGAGAGCTGGAGACAAGATACCAGAAAGTGTGTGTGGCGCAGCTGAAGTGTTCTGCAGCATTTCCCAAACTAAAGATGTGCCTGCCCCAAGGGTCCTCCAATAAGCATGCCATAGAAAATGGAAGGCCTTACACAAACTATGCACTTAAACCTGCGCAGCACTCTGAAAGTACAAGCAGAAAATCAGAACAATGTATGCAGAGTGCATTAAATATAAGAACATAGTGTGTGAGCGAGTGGAAACGAAGCCCAGTAATGTTATAATACATAGTTTTAGAGATCACTACTGACAGAGGAAACGTCGCTGTTCCAACTCAGGCCTGCTCCAACACAAAGACACACACACACACACACATACACACACACGCAAACATAGATGAATGTAGGAAGGCGAAGGAACACACCGTTGCACGTACACACAAAACAACAAGACGCTCACGTGCATGCGCAGGAAAAAGCTGGGGTGCCATCTATCAGGCTGCAGACGGGAGACTTGGAAGGGGAAATCTGTCCTGTGATGGCTGTAAATGAGGGCTGTGGCGGCGCTGTCACATTGTGTTTGGCTGGGACACAGGAGCTACGAGGGGCGGAGGGCATGGACACTGTGTACAGATATAATGAACTTGGGAGATGGCTGGAGCATGGGCAGATTCTGTCACAGCTAGAAGGGCTCTACTGCTGAAAAAAAAAAGGGTGGAAGGAGAGAGAGAGGTGGTGGTGGGGGGGAGTAAATTGAGTGCAGAGAAGAAAAGAGAGAGGAAGAGGCAAAGGCAATGATCAAGATAGAAAAACAGAAGGAGAATGAGACAGAGAAGAGCTGAGAATGCATAAGCAGACCCACAGAAAAACACAGCACTAATCACTGTTGGATTGGTGAGGCAATACTAGTGTTATACCAGAAGAATATTTACTCTAATTAGAGCCAGCTAATGTGTCTCCAGGTATAAAGGCTGCCTGCACTTTCCTGAGAATAATTAGAAGCACAGAGCATGCATTGTCCAGGAGAGCGGTGCAGAGCTCCCTTTGTACATCATTAACAGTTCACTGACAACAAAAGCGGAGTTAATAGAATGTAATGTGGTCTCCTCACCCATCCGTTTGTTCAAATGGTCATTAGGGTAATGCAGAATAATTCTTTCCTCCTGTGCCTCAACCCAAAACTCAAGGACTCCTCCCACCTCCCATGTGCCCCTGTGCATTTTTTCCCCTGAAGTACTGCCTCCATTTCCCTCTCTTTCCCCCTGACAGAGAATTTTCTCTCTAGCCTCTGTCCTCCACATCAAGATGATAAACATGATTTCATGGCGCGTTACAATCATCAGTCTTCGTAAAACACACGAAATCCTCTATAAAAGAATTAATTCTGCTTTGGAGAGACAGAGCCAAATGTATAGATTTACAATTCCACACTCGAGTTCCCCACTGTGTTTTAATGCATCATAAACACTTGGTGTTTTTTGGTCTCTGTTCCAATAAAAACAGAGAGCGCGGGGGTGTAATATCTGGAGCTGGGGGAAATTAAAGCTGAAGTTCCTCTCCTCCTCAGTGCACTCCCAGCTCTATCTTGCTCTCTCTCGCTATTTCTCTCCCTCACACACACACACACACACACACACACACACACACACACACACACACACACACACACACACACACACACACACGAGTTAATCAGCAGCCCAGAGAGAAATCTAAGACCACATCTACACCCAGTGGAGGGAACCTGATACAACCACATCTTTCCCCCCTTCCCACATTCCCCTTTCTCTTAATCATCAACACACACATGCCCCTGCTGATAAATTAGACGCAAGGTTCAGTATGATTAACTAAAGTTAATGAAGACTGAAAGTGATCTCAAACAAGGTAACCAAATAGGGGAAGTCTTCGAGAAACCATGAAGTGTGCATTAGAAAACCTAGTGGATTCATTTTTCTCTCCATTTCTGCTTCTGGTGCTATTTCCAAAAGTCCTTTCAGTGTGTGGTGACAAACGTAACCCTTCTGACTGGTGGAAAAATAAATCATACTTTCAAGTGAAGACAAATGCCTTATCCGTTGGGAGTAGCCTCAGGCTATAGTCATAATGGCCTCTCTCTTTCTTTCTGCCCCCCCACCCCCCCCCTTTGTCTCAATGCAGGGAGTTTCCATGAAGTAGTTTTTAAATGTCCACCCAAACCGTCCTTATGCAGCACTAAGCTAGTTCAGCGCAGATCAGGAGCAAGGTGGATATTTCTGTTTCAATACTGATTTTATGATAAACTCCAGTGTAGTGACAAGCACTTTTAAGTCCCAGAGGCAAAACTGCTGCTCAGTTACATTTGTGAGCAAACAAGAGGAAACTCATCAGTCACATCTTTGACTATCAAAACACAATTACACTCCACGCATGGCGCACGGGCGTTACTCATGTCGTGCCATAAAACCGTGGATTTCCTAACGCTGTGATCCCTGTGTGTGTGTGTTTGGCCCGGCTCTGGCTTGGCTCAGCGCAGGGCAGGCCAGCTGCAGAAGTCTGTCTCCTCTCCTCTCCTCTCTCCCCTCCTCTGCTCTCAGTGCTATCAGGTTGCCACTCCTCCTCCTTCAGCCCATTACACAGGACTCTTTATGCTGCGCTAAAAGCTGCTCATGTTCAAACACTCCTGGGAAAAGCTCCTTAAAACACGTCAGGATGAGAGGCCCTGTCTGGTAAAATATTAATAGGAAGTTAATTGGTTGTTAATGGACTGGTACTTGGGTAGGAATCGCCCTCCATTAGATAGGCCACCGAAACAACCCATTCAGGGGTGTCATCTTACCACCTCCACAATCTAATTGTTTTCCAGTCACTGTAGCCGTGAGTTGCAGTAACCTCGTGTTAAAGACATTATTTTTGAAGTTTTATGTAAGGTGCTGAAAGGAATATTGTGCCCTCTGTCATCCATATTTCCTTGTGAGCTTGGTATTGTAGGTGTTTGGTTTCCTTAGCGTCGAGTTTTAATTATCTCCACTTCTCTTTCAGTTGTGCACTGTTTTCTTTTGTGTCATCCTCTCACATTCAAAGTGAAGTGTTTGTCACGCTGAAACTCTTTCCTCAATCGCCACATAAGAAAATAGTTTTAACTTTTGTTGTTTGCGGTCAGTGTGTTTTGTGCTTTCTGTGGTTGTCGTTACCCAACAGAAAAAATCCCTCTTCTGCTAGAGTAGGCATGTAATATTGATGCAGAGCAGACTCAGAGAAACAGAGAAATCAAATGGAATCTAAACTAAGTTCAAATGGCGACATCAACACATACATTTTTGATCATTGCAAGCCTACAAGACGCCATTCCTTTTAAGGGAAAGCCACAGGGGCATGTGTAGCAGGGAATATATTTAGAAATAAGTGATATTTCAGCATGTCTTTCGATCCCAACTTCGTTCAGCTCCAATTCATTTATGAGAGGGACAAATACTTGTTGAAAGAGGTTGTTCAGGAAATGGGATTTAAAAAGGCAGTAGAGGTTACCGAGACAGACTGCTTTTTACAGTGTGGACTTTTAAATGCATCATGTAAAAATAAATCACCTCTCAAACATATGTCATTTTCTCTGTAGCCCTACAGACATTTGTAAAAAAAAGAAAAAGAAAAAAAAGAAAGAAGTATTTTCCTCAAATCTACTTTTCTATGAATAAAATTTAAAAAAACATATACATATGTATATATGATGAAGTGTTCAGTTCCAAATTATCTAATTTCTCATGACTCTGACTATTTAATGGCAACCTTGTTCAAACACTGAGTGAATTTGTGTCCAATTACGTTACGATGCAAATGTCGATGGATCCAACAGATGTTGTCCTACTACACTGTTGCTGAGTTTCAGTTTACTTAGATTCAGCAGCCACCACTAGATGGTATTAAAACACAGACAATTTCTGATGTCAGATCAGCAGACACGGCTGTTTCTTAGAGGATAAATAAATGAAATGAATCAGCCAGGCCTCCTCATGTGACTGCGTGATTATGTTCTGGTTTCCTGCTGTGATCTATTACCTGGCTGCATTTAGACTGAGATAATCCTGAGGGTGGGTAATGCAGTGGTAGAAAACACTTGTCTGTCTGATGTTTTCTAAAGCCTGTCTGTCCACTTGACTGCATCGCAGACTGAAATGAATCTGTCAGATAGAGGAAAACGGGAAGGTTACTGTATCATCATTAGCATGCCCTCAGAAAAAAATTATTTGTGTTACAATGCAACAGTGTGCATTTCTTCCACTCTGTACTCATCATCAGCATACAGATACACAGTCATGCTTCAGTTTTATTACATGTTAAGCTGTCAACAGATGCAACAAATGAGCAGATTCTTGGCTGGATCTTTAAACGTTTAGCAAAGCTTTCAGTAGCTACAATGAACACATGATGATACACAACAAAGAACACCTTAAGAAACAGTAGAAAAGTTACAACAGTATGAAATGTCCAAAATTGTACTTCAATAACATTTGACACCGGAAAACAAGCAAACTTAAAAATAGTCACTCAATGTTAGTTGACTAATGAATCATTCCATTATTTTGTCCAATTAGTTTCTTCATTGTTTTTGGTGTGACATTTTGACATCACAAAATTCATAAATATACATGCTATACTTGCAGGTTAATAGTGTAATTTTTTTTTTTTGATACCTAAAACTATAAGTCGACTGTGTGAGAAAAGCTTAAAAAATGTTTTTGTATGCCTTCAGTGGAGAGTTTTACTTTTTAGCATGCATGCCACAACCGCTTATTAACTGTCAATCAACAACTTTGTTCATCTCAGGTGCACACAGTAACATTCATTGTGAAAAAAGGTAGTCCAAATGTCACACTACTGTACACAGACAGGCTATGGTGAAGTGAACTCCAAAAACATGTTTTTTTTCTTACTACGGTCTTAACTCTCAAAATGTAATGTTGTCAGTTATCAATATGAAGAAGTCTACATGCCAGATGGTTGGCGTTCATGAGCTTGTGTGGAGGAATGCATGCTAAAAAAGGGTCCAGAAACATTTGATGTGTGTGATACAGATAACAGGCAGTGAGAACAGAGTAGATGCAATTAGATTACAATAGAGTGGAAAAATGGGCTGTATGCCCTTGTGTTAATGTCCACTTATAGCCTAACTGTGCGCCACAAATGGGGCTTATACTTCTTTCACCTCAGAAAATCATAAACCCTCTCTAGGCGTCTCAGCTTTACCAGAAATGGTCGAAGGACTGGGTGCCAGAGTGACATACAGGACAATCACAGAGACTCCTCTCTAGGCTGTGTTGTGGAAAAGGATGGGCTTGACCATGCCTGAGAGGATCTTGGGCACATGAACGCTCACAATCTCTGAGATCATCTCTGGGAAGTTGACATGTGACTGCAGGGACTGGGCTTGGATGAACAGATCATAGGTGAACTGGTGTAACTGCCTCACAACCTGAGAATGAGAGAAAAGAGGAGAGAGAGAGAGAGGAAGAGATCACACAAAGGTTATTAGCAACAAAGATGATGCGCTTAAATGTGTACGACATTGAAAAAGAACAAAGCCTGAGGATAAAAGAAGAAATGACAAATGACATTGAAGCCTGTCTTCTGACATGAGCTTTAAGAGGTGATTTAAAAAGATGACAGGAGAAGACTAAGCTGAGCTTAAGGCAGAGTAAAGCCGAAGGGGTCTGAGCTGCTAAGTCTTGATCAACTCTGGTTTGCTACCAGGCCCTCCAGCTCATAAGGCATTAGGAGATCTGAGAGGTAAGTGGGACAGTCAAAGCTGAGCTGAAACTGCTGCATCTCTGCTCTCTTTGGGAAAAAAACCTTCCAGCTCTTCTGGTCACGCCGCAGTCACTGATGTCAGCAGTTGTTCTTAGACCTCTAATTATTCTTACCAATTAGTATTAAAAGTTCATCTAAGGAGGAAAGCTCTTATCTACAAGCTCTTTTGGTTGTGTCCCTCCCAAGAATCTCCATTCATAGCTCTAAAGACCAAATAAATGATTTCTAAAGACCAAAAAATGATTTCGCACAAAACTCCCAGAAAATACTATGAATGTGTTTATTTAAACCATTATGAATATTACTTTATTATTATGAATCATTCCTTTGGTCTAGCTCAGAGAAACAGCGCATCTAAGCCAATCTCATGCATAGACAAAAATCAGCAAACTAGCTTTTGTCAAAATGTGTAACCACATCAGGCCAGAAAAAGGGACTCGGCCATTACGGTAAATATCCTTTCAAAACCAGGAAACTCACAGGTCGTCTGACTCAGCTGAGTCAGTTATGTCTTTATGCCACCATAAAGTTGATTATAAGTTCTGACAGTTTTTTAAATAAAAGAAAAAATAATATACATACATGTTAACATATATACCTGTTACATACATACATATACATTTCACATATGTAAAATGTGTATATATATCCAATAATTTACTATTTTGTTTGCCATCTGAAACCAGTGCTTCATTTTGGGGATGGGTTTATGGCATTTTGAATGCAGTGTTTCATTTAGAAGGACATATGAGGCATTTTGCATTTTGTGTGAGCAGTTTTGGGAATTGTGTGTAGAGTTTTGAAAAAGGAAAACTTTAATACCTTACCACACCCTAAGCTAAAATAAAAGGCCTTTGTACAAATCGAACATCACACTGTCCTCTACTGGATGTTAAATTATCAAATAGAAATACAAATCAGCACGTGGCTGTAACACAGCAATTGCCTTTACAGCTCCTAACCTTTTCAGCTTTTTCAGGCGCTGGACCATCAGACAGGTGAGTTTGTGTTAATAGTCTCTAGAGATAGTCAACTATCCGGAGCGAACTTGTGTACAAATAAAACACAGAGGTGTAAATTATTTATATTTTCAATTAAATTGTAATTCAAAGCTTGACAACACAAAACTTGGCCAAGCTACATTTTCTTTTATTTGGACGAATGAAAGCTGGACAGAAATCCTTCTTTCCCTGTTCAAAATAACCAGGAGGACAGAGATCAGGGACATATTGGCACTCACACCAGTTAACAGAACTCACATTACATTACAGTTTTCAGGTTTAAAATGTAATTTCCATTGTTGGTGGGTGGAACAACTGCAAAAACTGCAGAATTCCTTATGGAGCGTTATGGTTATTTCTGATGTAGCAATGCTACCACCAGAGGGCGACTCTATCATTTCCCCCTCATCGTCTGCAACCAGTCTAGAGCCCTTTGGTATGTGTTTAACCTTAGTTGATGGCTGGGGATTTCTGCACAAACCGTAAGTGTACAACAAGTTGTCACTTGAGAAAAATGAAAAGGAATTACATATTACAGTTTGTATAGCTCTGTCAGTTACAAACTAAACTAGACTGTGGTTTAAATTTTAAATGTAATAACTGATGGCCTCAACTGAAGTAATCCAGCCATGAAATGATCAAGAACTCTTGATATAGTCTAGTTAGTTAATATGTTAACGCTGTATTGCTGTGCGCCAAATACAGTGTTTGTGTACTTGGGAGGCACTTTGCTCTACATTGCCTGCGCAAGTAGTTCTGGGAAACTAACTAAAATTACAATTATATAATAGTCACAGAATGGTGTGTATGTAGAATTATGTCTATTACCGACTGGAGGTAGTCCAGCAGCTGTGTGAGCTGAAACAGCCTCTGTGTACGGGTGGTCTCCCCGCGGTGGCTGACCAAGCGGTCCAGCTCCTTGATGTAGGAGGTCCGCAGTTCATCAAAACAACGCTGGCTCTTCAGGCCTTCCACTGGCACTGTGACCACAAAGCCAGAACACAACAATAACTCTCACACACTTTATTCATCCCATCAATTCTCTTAAGTAATGGCTGCACTCTATCATTTCACTTGCTGAGTTGACATTCAGCTTATTATTTCAGACATGGTCTCAGCAGACTCACTGATACTGAAGAGGACCAGGGCTTTCATGCAGAGGAACTCCTCCTGGGTGACCTTCAGCATGCAGAACCTCTGGGAGAGCAGCTTCATCCTCACACAGTCTTCATACATACTGGACACTTGCATCCGCTGGCTGTGAAGGTGGGGATAAGCAGCATGAGAGGAGAAGATGGAGCACCAGGTGCGACAAAAGGAGAAGTGAGAAACCAAGAGAGGGCCAGGCAGAGAGAGATATTGAAAGGTGGAAGACAATTAACGGTGGCAGAAGGGGAAAAAGAGGGAAAAGCAGCAGAGGTGAGAAAAAATGAGTGACATGGATAATGGAAAAAGAGAACGACAGAGAGGCAGCGAAAAATGAGGGTCAGTAACAAGGGCAGGCGCATCCATTACCATGCAGGTCAGAAGCAGCCCAATAGAGCGACAGAGGTCTAATGTAGGCAGAATGAGTGTTTTGCTAATGTTGAAACCAGCCAAGTGAAAGCTCCACTGAGGGCCTGAAGATGGCTTTAGCATCTTGAGCAACACCCTCCTCCGACAATTTAATCATAAGAGGTGGTGGAATCGCTATTTATGTACGTTGTGTACAGTGATTTGCTTCACAAACTCTGTTAACTTTTTAGAAGCACAAAGAAAAGACAGAGGATAGGAGTTGAAGTGTTAAAAGTGTTTTAGTAGGAGGCTGGAAGGGGTTGCGGTGCAAATCAAAACTTGTCAAAGTGAAAAAAGCAACAACACAATGCTGCAGCAGTTCTGACGATGTTTTCTTAAAAAGATGAAATGGAATAAATCATCTGAGGTGATCCCTCTGCGGCCACATATATGAGATGCAAAGGAAACGGTAAGAACAGAATAGACTTGTTTACTGTCTCGCCCCAAAAAAGGCGACGTTCATTGTGTGATTTCTTAAAATCTTCCTCTGAAGCTCGTATTCCCCTGTGCCTTCCTTTCCAATCACAATGACAGGTAAAATTCCATGATATTCCAACAAACCCAGTGTCACAATGATTATCACAGCCCAAACAAACTTTCCTTGTTTGATGAAGAGACTATGCCAGGTGTGACAAACTTCTATTAACTTTGTTTATCTCAAACACTTAAATGTTACAACTCGGCAGAATTTTGCCGTGAAAAATATTGTTTTTTGTGACTTACTCATTGAAGACCAGGTCTGGAGCAAAGTAGAGCATGGAGCTGTTAGTATTGGTGTATGACCTCCAGCCCAGACCGAACACCATCACCCCCATCCATGACAACTGAATCACTGACATCTGATCATCCACATGCAGGTCACGGAAACCTGACAGAAAACATGTTTTAAGTCAAACAATACTTAAACATGATAAAACAGGTAAATTAAATAAATGTGTGTATGGGTGCATTGATGGCCATTTTCAGCCTGACATTCTCAGCTTAAATATGAACATACTCCCCTCTAGTGGTAAATATCTGAAAAAGCTAGTTTGCACTAAATGAGATTGGCTGCACCACATGACAGTTTAACTGGCATAAAATCTGTTATCTGGTTAATAAGATTTTTAGGGCCTTCCCAGTGCTAACAGTTAGGACACAATTTTCCTGATGGCTTTGAAGCTTGTCTAAAACATTTGCACAAGTGATTCTTGTGCCTGATTTGCCTCTCACAGTGTCACTGCCCTCTTGCTCAATATGGCAAATCTGGCCTTGCAGTGTTTTGCTTGGCTTACAGTACAAATGGTTTATCCAGAATTACTCAGAAGCACCTACGTGTAGCACAGACTCGTTTGCAGTGTGTTCCAAGTGTGGCCTAGATGAGTTTACCTGGTATTGCCTTGGCCCAACGCACCACGGTTACCAGCTGTCTTTCCCCCAGCTCATTGAGGCTGGTGAGCAAGGACGCAGGGCTGTCTGGCTGGGCAGGGTCATGTCCGGCATTGACCACAATCGGCTCAATGGTCTGCAAGACACTGAGCAGGTTGAGGCAGGAGCGCAGCATCGGGGGGATACCTGGAACCAGGCCTTGGGATGCTGCTAAAGATATACAGACTGAATCATGCACAGACCAGAAGAATAGCATAAAAAACACTATCATGGTTTTAATTGCAGAATATGGTCATTATTAAGTTAGCATGATACTTGAGCTTATCGGACACCAATCTTCACTTTGAGCGCTGGCAGCTGCACTTCCGGGGCCAGAGAAGACATCTTTCTTACCGGCCCTTTCTCCTCTCTCTCCAGTCCCCCACGGAGACAGAGGTTGCTCCCCCTCTCCGTTCCTTGTCTGTCCGGCTCCCTTTAGCCTGCGACCTAGAATCCAAGACAATACAGACAAGCAGAAGACAAAAGCGTAAAAGGGAGATAAAGAGATTCCTTGTCAAGTTGCGAAACAAATCCCCAAAACAAACCGGAATACTAGAAACAGGGCTATACTTCAATGACACCAGACTACGGAGTTGTCATAACCATGTGGTGAGGTTCTTGATCACTGGATACTAGGTGAAAAATGCTCTTCTGGCCTTTGCTGAATTGCATTTGTTACACTGTATTTAAGCTGGAACATTTGATTAGTAAGTTCTGATCCAGTGCAATGTAAGGTATCTGACCACCCTGACCCCATTTTCCAAATACACACCACACATACTTTCCTTCAGGGTACAAGGTAGATTTATTTATCATTTAATAACACGGGGTTGTTTAAGAGATTAGTTCCCTTTAAGCTACTCACAAAAACATATTCCTCATCTGTCTCATTCTGTTCTCATGCTCCTCACCTTTAAGGCTCATTCCCGACATGAAGCATCTCTTTAAACGGCACGAGGCGCAGTTTTTCCGCCTCAGTTTGTCGATGGTGCAGTCGTTCCGGCTGGCACACAGATGGTTCTGCTTACCTGGTGGGACACAAAAGTCCTGAGGGGGTGAGGGGAGGGAGTTCAATAATGCCTCAGCTTCCACTCATAGCAACGAAATGTGGGTGTTTGCTGATAACAAATAACTCGCCCTCATAATGTCAGGTCACTGTGCCCTGCCTGCGTGAATAAGCACGTGGGTGTAAGAAATTAAATCAGCAGTGGAGTAATTGTGCTTGTGCACTCGCATCTCACCAACCTGCAGCGGCTCTCTTGAAGAATACTTTGCAGCTGCCACAGGTAACCGCTCCATAGTGACAACCTGAGGCATCGTCACCGCACACCTGGCACACTCTCCTGTCTGACAGGTACACACCTGGAAACAAATCCTCATGCCTTGGCACACAGAGGCACGAATACACAGGTTTGTTTTGAAGGATTCAAAAGTGGGCACAGATACAGTTTTTATCTTAGACGGTTACAATATGCCTATAAAAAAAATCAAACAGTCAAACAAATGTATTAAGATCAGATTTAGGTCACATTGTCTGTACTCAGTGTTGGTTCAGGGCGTAAAATCTCTAAATCCAATCCAATTAAAATAGGAGATTTCCATATGTCTTGACTGATTATATGACAACAAGTTAAGTCAAAGGGAAACAAATTAAATATGAAAGAACTGTTGAGTTAGTCTTTTAAAACTTTTACTTAGGAATCAACAAGTGGTAACTGGTCAGTTTCTTCCTTTCCAAGCACAGAATGAGCAACAGGTGCTGTATCTCTTGTTTATAGCGACACTGATATATTAACTCATATTTTGCATAGTTAGTCACAGGACAAATAAGGACAGTTCTGGAAAGTTAGGGATAGGGTGAACTTTGATTTAGTTTAGCTGCAGACTGAAACACAACTTGGCCAAGGCCAGGAAGAGCACATGTGGCTGTTAGAGCAGGAAAGATTTAATGCTCCACAGCTATCTCTGTGGCTGAATGATTCTGCACTATTTCAACATATGGCTTTGGAAATAACCATAAAGAATAATTGCGTTTATTGAATTGATTTATTTGTACTGCTCTGTACTGCAAGTCCAGTGACGCTCAACAGAAATATCAAGAAATAAAGTATAAGATCTAGAAGGAGCTGTAAAGATTGGCAGATTAACGCCTACCCAGTTCATGCTCCATTTGTCCTTTTGTTTGTGATTAAATAAAAGTGTAACTGATCAAGTGGCAAGAAAGACTGTATTGCCCTCCTGACCTGGTGGCAGTGAAAGGCAAAACAAAACAAATCAAATCATTGTGAAAACCTGTTACTTACCTGAAACTGCGATCTCTGCAATCCAACCAAAATGAAGGTTCGGTCTTGATGGTGGAAAAGGTGGCCTGCTCTTGAAGGACTGCACTTTGGGAACTTTCCGCTTGACCATACCCTTGTGCCATCGCTGCTCGCGTGTCACCTTCACCCCCCTGCCCGCGCTTGCTATACCAGACACAGTGGCATTCCTGCCTGGATTCAAGAGACGCTTTCCCGCAATTACAATGTTTACACAATAAATTGTGTGCGCCGGATCCACTTCTCTCTGCCTCGGAACGGCCGCTGTATGCGCACCACGTAGCTGCGGCATCGCTGTATAGGTTTGGATCGGCAGAGTATGGTTTCAAAGGTAAGATCTCGTCCACCTCAGAGGACGCAGGAAGGTCTGTCACCGGGTTCATAAACAAGCTTGATTCCTTGCAGAAATATCTTGATATCACCGGGCCGCGCGTCACGGTCTGCGCCCTGTCCATTTCGCCGGATCTGAGCAGATCCATGCAGCTCACTTGCTGTATGCCAGGACACACTTCTCCAAAGTCGTCATCTCTTGGGTTAGTTTCATTCAGTAGGCTATTACGAGCCGCTCCGAACTCCAGCACTCCTCGGAAACTACGCTCCACTATGGAGTCGAAGTCTGCAACGGCGACGCCGGAGCAGTGGTTCATGCTGTTGTGAGGAGAAGACACTGTATCCAAACCCAAGGACACTGACACAGCCTTACTGAGCTCAGCAGTCGGGCACGCACAGGTGTCCGCAGTATCCAGCAGATTGATTTTTAAAGAGTTTGACGTTTCTTCAATTTCAGCCAAGCTCGAGAGGAGGGCCATCTTCAGCTCGCGTATTTACTTAAAGTAGTGCGCTGGTTGAGAACAAATAAAACAACAAGCTCCAGGCAAGAAAACGCCTACCCAATGAGACTCCGGGAATATGTCTCAGCGGATAGGAAATACAGAGTAGTCGTCGACGTAGGTTGCTACAGGCAAGGGACGTCCCGTTGATCTATTCCGCTGGCGAACTTTTTACAAAGTAACATTTTTCTAGCCCAGGCTAAAACTTACATCATAAGTAACCGTTAGAAATCGAGTAGGAGGACATTAAACTATGGCGTATTGACCGGGTTTACATACTGAACACCAAACCTAAATGTAATTTATTATCTAATCTAATTGGACTCAACGCCTCCGCTGCAAAAAGTAACCACATTTCTCGCGAGAATAGTCAGGATTAAACAGTTAATTCACCATCACGGTCCTACAACAGGCTGCTGCTATTGGGTGGATTCAGGTATATTGGGATAGTTTTTGTAATTCTATCGATTGATCTCGTTCTTTTCATAAATTTAAAAAAGTAACCCAACATGATGTCTGCTTACTTTATGTGAAGAAATTAAGTGTGCAGGCCTACAATATTTTTACAAAGCTTGGTTCACCATTTTGTTGTAGTTGACACAAAACTAGTTTCCACGAACATGTTTGGTAATTTGGGACACAGTTTTATAGGTGTATGCCCTTGCTTTTAACTCTATTGACATATTTCAAAAAGTATTTTGAACTTATCTCTTAACAAAAAAATTAATTAAATAGATGTCTAAGGTTATGTGATTTTATGTATTAGCCTGTCATTTGTTTTGATAGCTACATTTATTATTACATCAACAAATATCATCAGCCTAGACTATTGATTAAGATGTTAAAATCATAAAAGACTTGACAACATGTCAAAAATGTTTATTTAATTTATTTATCTGTTTCTTGGTGCCATTCTATTCTGCAACAGACATTAAATTCATAATGGAATAAAACCATTCATAAGAATAAAACCATAGATTGAACAAAGTGTTATATTATAATTACATTAATTATATGTTACAGCACTATTAATTCTTAATTAATAATTAAACACATTTGCTTCATTGTTTGTCATTGTCAAAAGATTATGGGGCTAATTGAACCAATTTATAAGGCCTGTGGGAGATTAGCATCATTAGCATATTACTCTAGGCCTCTCTACTTAAAAGTTGCCTGTAGGTTACATCTCTGTGGTTCTGTGTTGACATACATGAGGTCCCTCTGTATTTCATGTTATATGAATCCACACTAGTGATAAATTTCCTTCCCCCCCACTTTTCAGGGTAGAAGTAAAATGCTGTTTTCTTATGTTGTCCCAAATTACCTGATTACCAATATACCTGAATTCCCCCAAAGTGTTGTCAGATTAATCCTGCGCAATCACTGACCTTTGATATTCACAAAGAAAATGTAAAACAGCTGTAGGCTATATATGTTATATGGATGGTCACTGTAGTTTATTTTTGGACAGAGTGTGATGGATGAGGGCGTCAGCAATTTCAGAAGGATGAAGACAGCTAGAGAAACATAATCAAAACAAAATCAGTTTGATTCCTGTTAATTGCGACATATTTCCTTCTGTTATTTAATAATAAAATGAAAAAGAAAAACTTGATTGCTTGTTTCTTTGAGGACTCTGGGTTGTTTCTGGCAACCCTGCTGTGCCAGAGCCTTTTCTACACTTGTTTTTTGCAGAAGTCATGGCATAGGGTCAGTGATGGAAGCTCTAGATTCTCTTTACATATATTGGATGGAGAAATATAATATAATTTTAAGGCTATAATTAGCTTTTATTTTTGATTGCAGCTCAGCTGAACAACAGTTTGTCTCGTTAGTCAAATTGAAGGTGATGCTTAGGCTACTTATTCATATGGGAAATGACGCACACACAACACACTGATGGAGTTTCATGGTATTTTATTTGTGATAAAGTGATAAAGAATAGAGGATTTAACATTTAGATGGAATAATAACAAGTGTCTTACATGTCATTGCTTTCATTAATCAATATTAAAGAGAGATTGCAAATGTGTGTAATATGATTGGCAAAAGCAAACCTTTTGTGAATTTTCTACCTCTGCAATAATCTTCACCTACGATTTCATCATCTATCCATATCTTGCCTTCAGTCTGAGTGGGCCTACAGCAGCCTCTCTCACATGGACTCAAATTCATCAATGCGTTGTTTGGTGTTGCCCTGACGAATCTTACGTAGGGTCTTGTATTTGTCACGGCCTGCCTTCACATTGTCAGCATGGATCAGGTCATTGTGGGTCTTTTTGCTCTCATCTACAGCTCCGGCCAGCTCAGTGCTCAAGAACTGAAAGAGAACACGGGCACACAGTGAATGAAATGCTCTTCCCTGAGACTCTTTAAGAGACTATTCAGAAGCCTTACTCATCTCCCCTAACCCCTGTACACCTCTCAGTCCCCATCTATTGTCCATAGTTATTAATTCTATTTTGTGAGTCCTCTATGCAACATCATATCTTGTTTTGGCTGTGAGATAGAGACCAATCTTATTTCAGTTGTAGTAGGCCTGGATGGTCAGGATGATATTTGTGACTTGAATGAAAACAATGGAATGATAATGTACCTGCATTAGTGTTTAATTATGTAGAGTGCACTTGTTGTTAGTCATAAACATAATTTTTGGTGGCAATTAAGCTGCCATCTTTATAGCAGAGTCAAAACCTCTGTATGAGTCAGCAGACAACACAGCAAATGTACCAAAGCATTTTAAAAATCACAAAACACAACAGCAACAAAACATACGCTGCATAACTCTCATCAAGCCTAATATCTTTTAAATGAAGCAGGTACATTAAAAATTACCAGCAAAGTACAATATAGAAAAAAATAGTGACTGAGATCCAGACATTCTCTGTAAACAAGTCTAAGAGTCTACAGACAGCAACTCTGTGACTAAATGTCAAAATACTAGCAGGGTCACAGGGACAATCCTAGCATGGTGATGTTTCGCAGTTACCAGGTTCACCATCTAAATTTAGCCTATAAGCCTGCTAACATGTGCTAGGTAGAACTATACACAAAGTGCAGCTGAGGATGATGGGAATCCTATTAGATTTGCAGGTATTTAGTCATAAACCAAAGTTTTTGGCAAACTTTGACCTGTTGGTGGCGCAAGATGAAAGGTCGGGGGATCACCAAGGTTATTATGAGTTATACTTTAGGGACCTTGAAAATATGTAGTAAATTTCAAGGAAATCCATCTAATAGTTGTTAAAATATTTCTCTGTTTCCCACAAGTTTCAACCTCGTAGTGGCCCTAGAAGAAAAGTCAGGGGATCACCAAAGTCAGTTGGATTCATCCTCTGGGGACCATAAATATAAGCGTACATTGATTAACAAAAAATGTATATGAGACATATTGACCGAATATGTCTATATAAATAGCTAAAATTAGGGTGCTCATTTTAATACTGTCTTGTTTCATCATTCAGCTATTATCCAGTGACCATCAGAGTAACTGCAGAGTGAGGCAATGATGCATTGGCCTCAGCATTCATCTGGGGTGGTTCCTAATTTACAGAGCGCATTATCTACTGAACCAAGAACCCCTGAATTAGAGGCAGATTGGTTCATTTGTCTGTACTCTTAAACGCTCCAGGACTTCTAATCTTTAGCAGAACATGACTTCTGACCTGAAGGCGAGTAAGAGAAAAGCAAATCAGCAAAATAGGACATTTGATTATATTCACTTAACCTTACCTTGAGGTTCTTTTGCAGCCTCTTGTTCTTCTGGGCCTCTGTTACTCTTTCCTCTTCACTGCGATCACGGACGGTGCCAGGAGAATTCAGCTCCGCGCTTGCCTCTGCGCTGCTCTCATCCGTCTCGTCGTGCTCATGAGAGTCGACTGAATCTTGGATGTGGACACCCATGAGTTTAGTCTTCAGCTCCTCTTTGGTTCGATCCAAATCAGCTTCTACCACGATCGCCTGTCGACACACAGGACTTGCAGTGAAGCACTGTGGTTGAATATTAAAGTGTAAGTAGTCTACTGGATTAGTTCCAGATTGTGATATTCACGATTTCACGACAAATGTTGTTTTGGCAAACCTGTCCATTACCTTTTGAATCCCTGGTTAAGATGTTATAGTGCAACAATCACTCATGAAGGCAAATAGTTGTCTTCTCTGACTTATTTCTCATCATTGTGTGCAACAGTCTCTCGTGGTCATGAGTAAACAGAAATATGGCTTAAGACTACATGCAAGTTCAGTATGATACTCCTTATTTGTATGCAAAGATTTGCATACACTTTAGCTTACGCAAAGCAGTGCCTTCACAGTATGGAAGTGAATAGGGGACTATTAAAATGTAAACTTGGTAATTAAAATGTAATGATAATGCAATAATCCAATTAGAATTTTATTTTCCACATATTATATGACAATATTAAAATGAAAATGGAAAAGCTATTTGACATTTCATTTTCATAGTCTTACCCCACTGTACAGTGGACGATATTCAAATGTTAATTGAAATTCAAAACTGAAAATACAATAGAAATAATATAACCTGATGTTAAGTCAAAATGAAAGTGAAAACGGCATTTGAAATTTCATTTTCAAAGGCTTAATCTGCTGTACTGGACAACATTCAAAGGCAATAAGTGAAACATTGCCCCTAATCTCAAGGGCAGATATGTCACTGGGGACATATATCATATGTCATAAATTTCTCACCTGATGGTCTAGATTTGTCCCTAGTCACTTTTTAGAACTAAATTCGAAGAGGGTCTGTGAGGCATATGAAGGGAGAGGACATAATCCTTTTAAACTTAAAAACACATCGGACTCCTAGTAGAGAATGAGAGCTGTTAACCATTAGTGTACCAAATTCAATGACTGGACACAGACGGACAACAGTTGTCATATTTTAATTTCTGGATTAAAATTATTACAATGGAGAATTCAGTAGTTGCTGGACATTAGTAGGAACATGCCTCTACTATCCCTACCTAATTCTATGCCCTTGCCCAGTCAACTGCTTATATTAAAAAGGAAAAGGAAAATGCAATTTTCATTGACATTTGATTTCAGAGACTTAACCTGGGATACATGTGACAATAGCCAGTTTGAAAATCTAGTTATATATGTGTCTGTGGTTGATACCTTGCTTCTAATTTACCCGGGTCCCACACTTAGTAGTGTCAGACATCCCTCTTTGCTCATGTTTGATTCATCCTTCATCGGTCTCACGGTTCTTTCATTAATTCTCACCCTTTTCTGCCATCTCTTTGCCTCATCGTCCTTTTTCTTCTTGGCGTCTTCCAGCTGAGAGATCTTACAGGTAAGCTCTGCCAGCTCAGTGGCCTATACACACACGCACACAAATGGGAAAAGAGTTAAGAGTGCTCTTCATCCAAGGTCATTGTGCTCTGGCTTAGAGTGAATGTGTGTGTGTCCGTGCGCACACATATGCTCATATGCAGTGTCACGGCTCAGGTTAATTGCCTTTCTATTCAGTCAGCTAAAAATATTAATCATTTAAAACATGCAATCAAGATGAATGTGTGAACCACTTGATGACATCAATGTCATAGCAGCCTTAGAGGTAGACTTAACAATAGACTTAAGAATAAGTCTTAGATCATGGGAATAAAGTAAATAGGTCTCATGCTGAATGATGATTTTACGGCAACAAGTTCTTCAATTTTTTATGTTTGGAGAAAAAGTCACCTTATATCTTAATCTATTTAATTGAAATTGAATAACACCCAGCATGCAGGTGTGTTTTGCACCAGTACCAGGCTTTCCTGGCTCTTGGTCTGGGTTTCAGATTGGCACAGCAGAGCTGCTTTAGCTTCCACTGCAGCTCTTCGGTCCTTGTCCAGGCGCTCAGCCTCCTGTTGAGCAAGTTTCCTCTCCTTCTCTAACTCAAGAGCCCTGCGAGTCTGCTCCTCCAGCTCTGAAACACACATACCCAGACATGCCCACATTGTATAAGCTTAGAGATCCCACAATCACAAATATTTCAATATACTAAGCCACTCTTTTAATGTTCTTAAACAGGGGGGAAAAAAACTCATATTGAGAAACATTTGTATTCAGAAAGTTGTCAGACCATCTTGAGCTCTCTTTGTCTGTTCTTCAATCTGTCTCAGTCTCTCCATCAGCTCCATGGTCTCACGAGCAATCTTCTCGGTTTCCTTCTCAGCATTTTCCCGCTTTTTTTTCTCACTCTCCAGCAGAGCCCTGACAGGAGAATTGTGCATAAATACACATCTGAAAAAAAGACTATATCTCCTGACAGTTCTTTCTTAAAGCAGAGAGAACACACTGTAAACTGTAAAAAAGAATAATAAGCCATCATTATTTCCTTCCTTCCTTACCTCTCCATCTGCCTCTTATTCTTTTCCTCCCTCGCCTGGGCCCTCATCTGCTGCACCTCAATGGTGTCAGGTTTACGTCTACGCATGTACAGGTCATGGTTCCCCATACACAAGGCCAGGATACGCTTGTTGATGCGAAGACGAGGTACGTAGAAAACAAAGTCCTTCAACACAAAAATTAGAGATCAGTGATAGCCCACGGGTTGATTTATGGCATTCCATTAGCACCTATTTTACAGTTAATCATGTGCTTAATTGGGAGAATTTCTTATCTTTTCTTCTAAACTCATAGATGTCTTTTTTAAGTCTGTGCATTCAGTCAGAAATTGACATGTCAGGCTAAATTTATGTTTGTGACTGAGATCAAGTAGCAGCTGCTCTCAATACGCTACTTGCTGTAATTTATGCATTTGCAAGATTGGTACTTCACTCGTCAAAAGGAAATGGCATTAGCTTTTGGCCTTCTGTTTATAGCCACGGTGAATAAATATGAATAGGTGTGTCTTTGAAGAAGTATTTGTGGGATCTTGTATGTGGTTGTGAAAATATTTTCACAAAAGTTGTTAATGCTAAGATAATGAGTACTAAGTTTTAAACCCTAAGCACTGGAGAAGGAGCAGCCATTTAATCCCATCCACAAACATCCACGAATCGAGTTAAGCTAAAACAAGCTCACGGTTCAACATACCATCAAGCTGAGGCATCCATTTGTCAGACTAGAAGAAACAGCCGACTCCCCCTCAAACCAAACTCCCTTTTAATATAGCCTGGCAGCATGTCCTGTATTTCATGTAATAATATGCTTCAAAGAATGTGTAGCTACTGCAAATAAATCACCATTAAGGACCACTAATAATAATGTTTTTTGTATACCGGAGCTTTCTTGTCGATTGGTTTGATGAGGAACTTCTTGTCATTGAAGGAAATATTTCTGATCTCGCTCCAAGGGAAGCCAATCTTTGGGGTCATCCTGTAAAATATTGGCATGGTATACATTTGTGATCAATAGTATAGCTAACAGAGGTTATAATTAGCATAGGTTTTTAACACACAATTAAAACGTTAAAAAGTTATGACGCAAAGAAAAGAAAAGGGGCATTTCAGCATGCCAACATACTCAGTGACAATGCATATACGCTAACACAGGTTTAGCATGTTCAACATCTTTAGTACGCTATGTCAGCATGCTAAAATTAGCTAATTAGCACACAAAATACAACAGTGGCTGAAGTCATCAGTTAGGTATTGATTTTTCGATTAGAGAGAAGCCAGAGATGTGCTTTGGGAATTTTAACAAGTTAATCAAACTATTTTTGATATCAGGCTCAAAATATTATTCAAAGCAGGGTATTTTCACATGTTTTAAACCATTTCTGATTGAACCATTTTCTCATCTTTAAGGGATCGCCAGAGTCATTACAACTCCTCATGAGGGGAACGTGAATGTCTGAACCAAATTGCATGATGACAATGCATCCTATAGTTGTCAACACTTACTGAACCAAATATTTTCACCTGCTGGTGGCGCTAAAGGAAAAGTCAGAGGGTCAGCAAAGCCATAGGGATTCATCATTTGGGAATAATAAATGTCTGTGCTGAGTTTATAGTAGATATTTTACTGGATAATTGAAAACCTTGAACTGCTGGTGCTTAGGATACCACGTTGTGTAACAATCCTGTCAAGACATTTCACTAAAAAACAAATACGTCAACCTCGTTGTGATGCTAGATGAAAAGGGAGGGAATCACCAAAGGATTCATCCACTACCGACCATGAATGTAAGCGTACATTGTCTCACAGGTTTGTCAGACACACATACATTTTCAAATTGCAACCCACCTGTCCTTTTTGTCATAGATGTTCAGCCCCAGTGCGTCCACTCCCAGCCACAGCTCTGACCCTTTCTTGTTCTTGATGCTAAAGTAGTTGACCCCGTACATCTCCAGATCCTGGGCTATCTTTAGGTACTCCACCATGGCGTCTTCTCTGTAGTGTGGAGCAATTTAATGAGCTACAGAACACCTGTTAAATGCAAAAATTACTTTTTGTAGAAAGACAGCAGCAGTACCTCAGTATTCCCTTGTGCTCTTTGTGCCACACCTGGATTCTTTCCTCCCACTGATTCTTATTCAGCTTGTGCTGCTCCAAAACCCTGGTTTTATCAGTAAAGACAACACACCAGTTAGAATGACGAAACTCGAATTAACTTTAATATCCATAGGACGCACCTCTGTGGCAGCAGCTTCTCTCTTGTGAGGTATCCCGGCACGTGATAGTCTTTCCTGTAGTCTCCATGTTTGACCTGAACTGCATACGAGGCTAAGAGCACCGCAGTCTCAGGTGGACAGTATATGTCATCATTTAGGATGCTCTCTTTTACCTAAAAACCAGACAAAAGACAGACATATCTGCTTAAATACTCGAATCCCAAATGTTTTATGTTGCTGTCTGTGTAAAAGCATCATACATAACACTGTTAATGTGACTCACTGAGAGAGAAACCCTATGTGCTCTGGTGGTAGCGCACTTGGATCCCCTTTTTTGTGTGCATATTCTCCCTTATGGACAACCCATGAGAGTTTAATGGATCAGCATAAGTCATCGTGGAACCCACTCTGGTCATTAAGACAAGTTGAGGATTTGGTTTTGAGAATCCTTATTAATCATTGCACAGTACCACTCTTGCATAAGACAGCATCATTTCTTTATTGTCACTGAATATGAATTGTATTTCTCTTTTTAAAATAGTAAATGAATGGATATGGCATATAAATATAATGGTGCCATCAAACAGAAAATGAATGAAGAGTGATTAGGAAAGTCCATCAACTTGGACGATGTTTCAGGGATGGACATTTACAACATAATTTTCTTTAAAAACATCAATTTCCTTGTAGGTGCACTCATCTCCAACCTGAAGAAAGAAGAGGCGCTGCGTTGCCTCCTGGATCAGTTCATCAGCGACATCCTCAGGGTAAAACTTGGCCCTGAACTTAATCAACAAAGGGTTGTCCCTCTTCACATCTTGAGCTGTCACCTGGGATTGGCACCCAACAGCAGACAGAAACCAGAATAAAGAAATAGATACTAATTAGCCTCAATGGGGGAACGCAGTAGCATATTTCCAAAACCATTAAATGACGATGTCTATGAAGATTCTCAGTCATCCAGGTCATAGTTATCCAACGAAGGTTAAAATCAAGGGCAACTGGACTTGGTTGAAGATACTGGAAGACGTTTCGTCCCTCATCCAAAGGACTTCTTCAGTTCTGACTGACTGGCAGGGAAACTCAGCTATTTAACCTCAGTGGGGTCGTTATCCCGAAGCATCAATACCGCTGGTTCGTTAGTGTTCCTTGTTGCTGTGACGACAGTCGTTACAGTCATTAAGACTACCTGTGGCCAAGACTGAACGACCATCGTTGGTATCTTCACCTGAGGCCAATAGGTTACGTTTGTTGAGTTTCCTGGGAAGTGATGAAAGGACAGCATTGTAAGTGCTGTCCTTACAATGCTGTCCGACCCCACTGAGGTTAAATAGCTGAGTTTCCCTGCCAGTCAGTCAGAACTGAAGAAGTCCTTTGGATGAGGGATGAAACTTCTTCCAGTATCTTCAACCAAGTCCAGTTGCCCTTGATTTTAACCTTCGTTGCATTACATGATGACATCTTCATTTAAATCCAGCTGTTGTGGGGAGTCAAATTATGCCAACACGGAATATAAAGTTTCTCCTCACCCTCTTGTTCAGCTTGAGCCAGGTGGAGAAGCCTTTGCTGTCCTGATACTGGAGGCCAAAGAACCAGGTTTCCCTCAGCCCGATTGTTTTCACTATCTAAACATCAACAAATAACGTCAAATCACACACTTGTCTGCCAAAGCACCTGTTTGTACCTGACTGTAAAGAGTACCTGGTCAAAAAGCTGTTTCCCAGTTGTGCTGGGCAGGATGGCAAACTCCAGCTCAGCATCCATGGTTGTAACTCGGACATTTATCTGCCAGAGAAAAACACTGAGATACTGAGATGCAGGAGGAAAAGATCCCTGCTGTTCATTCATCTGTGGAGAAGCATCAAGGAGCATGCAGAGCAACAACTGGGTAAAAAAGAGCAACTACTACCAATTTTGTAATAATTTAGTTTGTTCTTTGATACAATGCTGAATTTGTTGGTTCTTTGACAGCAAAATGACCAAAAAGAGTGTTCCTTACATTCTTCTGTTCAACCAGGAGCATCCAATCGCAAGAGGTTGGTGGGGACTACAATCAAAAAATGAAGCCCACAGTATATTTTAGACTTAATTGAGAACATGGGGTTCATTCCATGGTTCATAAGTATTAACGACTGGGTGAAAAACAAGGACACCCATTTAGTGTTAATCTTGCATAATAGTATCAAACCATATACACATATCGGCAGTTGTTGGTATATATTGACATGTACAAAAGAAAAAAGCATCGCAATAGTTTGCTCCATTCCTCATAAACATTTTTTTTTAATTTATAAAAACAAGAAGAGAAAGCTAACCTTTGCTACTAAGCTAATCTTGTTTATCCAGATAGTGTAATGTGGTACACAATAAATCCAGGAACACAAAGGCATCAAATTAAAAACGATAATAATTGAAAAAGGTTAAGAACTGCAAACTAATGCCTTCTACTTGTAGTGTTATTAAACAAACTAAAAATTTGATCAAACCAATACAGCTGCAATTTAAACATTTCAACTAAATAAGAAACACAATAAAATTAAGCTATAAAAAAATTTAAGTTGGCTACTTACAGTGGACATTTGTTTTTTTTTTATCTGTTGTCGAAACACTTTTTCAGAGAGGTGCATGTAGTAGCTTTTTCTCTGCGGAGTCATATGAAACTGCTTGCAATACCTACAAGGATTATACTGCATGAGAATGGACCATTGTATTGTTCCCAAGTACTTCTCTCTTGGTTAATCCAGCGGCAGCCCCGGGCCCACGTGTTTTATAGAGGCAGCCCGTATCTTCTGTGAAGAGTTTTCCTCTTAATTTGATTGGGTTTTGACTGTGTATCACTCATCTAGACAGGATCTTTGTCTCCCAAACCTATTTATAAAGGGACACAAATCAACAGCACCTCTGCAGCACCTGATGATCCAGTTGCTGTGAAGGCGCCATGCAGCACATTCTGCTAATCTAGTAATCCTTCCAGTTAATGTTTTAAGCATATGTTGTTATGACAAACAGTGATTTTGGGGTTGGTGTGTTTGGTTTGTAGGCCTGTTGGTAACTGCTTATATTGTTTTTGAAGTAGCTAACAGGGCTGTAGCCAGAATTAAAGATAGGAAATATATCCAAGGAGGAAATATATCCAAGGAACCCCTGACCCCTGCAGCTAAATTTGAAGAGACTGAAAAACAAAACTATTCATTTTGATACCTGCAATATTCAGTTCATTTGACTGCATTGGCCTACTTTTATTTTATTTTTTGTTATAACATATTATGTATTCTCTTCTAGGAAAAACATCCTTATTATTAGAAAAAATCATTGAATTTGTATATTTAGCATTAATTTATGTACATTTACCTGACGCTTTTTATCCAAAGCGACTTACAATTGCTCAGTATGTCAGAGGTCACACGCCTCTGGGGCAGCTAGGGGTTAAGTGTCTTGCTCAGGTACACAATGGTGGATGTGTCACAGTGAGGAATTGAAATCGGGTCTCTCACACCAAAGGCATGTGTCTTATCCACTGCTCCATTACCACACTGTGTATTTCCTAATTGTCAAAGGCACTAAGTCTAAAATTAGTAACTTTAATTTAATGTATAGTATCTTCAGGTCTCCACTTTTATAATATTATAAAAGTGGAGACCTAACACTAAAAAGGGCCATTTTACATAACTGGCCCACTTTTACTTTTAATTGTTCAAGTAGCTTATATTTGTCTGATTTTGAATGTGGGACTTTCACTTCTTTCTTCCTTGTGGTAGATTACTAAAACGTTTACTTAAGTAATCTGATTTGAATACTTGTTTCACCACAAGCTACAGCCCTGACAGCTAAAGTAAACAACTAGAGGGAAACATACTCCATGTTGTCCACTGATATGACCATAACATTCTGTTGTTTTCTTCCTGTTCCTTCCACTCTTCAGAGGTCTCCGGTGATTGTTCTTACTCTGTGTAATGTTATATTAAATGCTAATGTGGGAATGAAGTTGTTTCCACCGCGGTGTAAAAGCTGGTTTAAGGGGAAGTGGATGCTTTGTATTTCAGTTTAACTCAGGCTGTGTGTGGCAGAGGACTCGTGGCGCTATTAAACACGAAGCCACGGTTTCACGTAGAGGGGCGCGCGCTCGTGTGCGCGCTCACACCGGCTATTGTGTTTTTTATCAACAAGGAGACCACCGTGGCCTTGCGGGTAACTGAGCTGGCCAGCTGAACGACAAGGGACTGCTAAACTATGGCAGACGAACAAGAAATAATGTGCAAATTAGAAAATATCCTGGAAATACGGTAAGACTTGGACGTGGAATAAAATGAAAATGGTTGTCAGATGTTGGTACTGAGAAACGTTATCTAAGCTAACGTTAGCGTGCCAAGAATGAAGCCCCTTTGGCGTCGCTTTTGTTACTGAGCTAGCTAATATTAGCCGGTCTGCTGCGAACCCTGTCTTTAATATGATTTTGCTGTTCCAGTTTTAGCTAGTTTCCGACAGGGTTGGCAAGAAATCACAGCAGGCTAACATAGATACAAAGCAGCTGTAGTTGAGATGCATTTTCGGATCATACATGCATCAACATTCCAGATGTGTATCAACAAAATGCCAGATGTCCTTTGCTAATTATTTCTGTGGGTAAGCTAGCTACGTAGCCAGCAAGCTTGTCCGTCTGTCATTAACTCACTAACAGTTAAACACCGGTAGCAGGATCGTGTTTGTTTGCCCTGAAGTCTTTGCAGCTACGCTTAATAACTGCATAACAGATGTACAGAATGCAGTAATTCATGCACTTAATACATTAATTCACAGCTGTACTAATTGTTCATTCTGCTTAAAATCAATACAGAACGTCTTAGTTATTGAGTAATTCACAATTTTACACAAATCCAAAGCATTGCATGACAAATGGAGAATAATGTGTGGTGCTTTGTCTTTTTTTTTTTTTATATATCTTAATGGATTTTTTTTGTGAGGGAAATAACCTGACAGCTGATGTATTTTGTCTGTGCCACTGGCTGCAGTAACAAGACTGTCCAGATGCAGAAGATCAAGTCTCGTCTTAAGATTGAGTTTGAGGCTCTGGAATCTGAGGAGAAGCACCTGAAAGAGTACAAACAAGAGATGGATCTGCTTCTACAAGAGAAAATGGCACATGTGGAGGAGCTGCGGCTCATCCATGCAGATATCAATGTGGTAAGTGAGTAGGTGGTGGTGATGGTGCATTGGATAAGACACATGCCTTTGGTGTGAGACCCGGGTTCAGTTCCCCAATGTGACCCATCTACCATTGTGTCCCTGAGCAAGATACTTAACCCCTAGTTGATCCAGAGGCGTGCAACCTCTGACATGTATAGCAATTGTAAGTCGCTTTGGATAAAAGTGTCAGATAAATGTAATCTAATGTATTACATTCAGAGATAAGCACCATCTGTAGAGAAAATGTTACAAACAGCAACAGTTCCTGTATTATTTTAGTGTAAAAGATATGACTAGAGACAATGAGAAATAGCTTATATTGAGCATATTACAAACACATATTTCTGAAATCTTGTCCTCTCAGATGGAGAGCACCATCAAGCAGTCGGAGAATGACCTGAATAAGCTTCTAGAAACAACTCGCCGCCTGCATGATGAGTACAAACCTCTGAAGGAGCATGTTGATGCCCTCAGGATGACTTTAGGTCTACACAGGCTCCCTAACCTGAACGAAGAAGAGGAGAAGCTCTCCCTGGAGTCAGTATAAACACACAGACACAAAAAAAATGCATCCACAGTGCACTTTGTTATTTTGGACAGATGTTGCTTGATTCAGTTTACAGTGTGTTTACAACCATGTTTTACATCATCTTTAAGTCTCATTAAAGGTTATTTTTAACATACTGTTTGCCAATTCTACTGCCAATTGACACAGAGATAAAAAACATCATAATATTTTGGACTACATATGATAAGATAACTTTTTTGTAATTTATTATATGATACACTTAAGCATCACTTTAGCTTTATTGCAGTCAGTCAACAGTCAAAATAGCATAATTCAGAAAGTACAGCACATTTAAAATTCTGTCTTTATGTCACTGCACTGACACATGAATATCCTCTACAGTTTAACCATACAGATTATCAGACAACAGTGGATACAATACAGCAGCTAGCAGACCATGTAATATCTTATCTTCAGTGGTCACTGTCAAGTTACATTTGAGTAGCATGTCTGCATGATTGCAGCAACCAATGACATTTCATTGCACTGACATAGTGTTAGAATGTGATGCATAAAAACAAGTATCTACAAGTTGAAATTGTGTACTGCTCAAAGTCCGAGGTAATTAGGCTTGCAGAGACATAATGAGTTAATTTTGTTTGTTTATAGGCCAAAAGTAAATATATATAATTGGACAAATTCAAATGGTCTAAGAATGGAGCCTTGTGGCACTTCACATATAATCAGTGACTTTGATAAAATAACCCCACTCACAGAATGTTGGAATTTCTGCCTGGTCAAACAGTACCACTCCAGTGCAGTCCTTTAAATACTGACCCAATGCTTCAGTCTATTAATAAGGATACTTAGGTCAACTGTATCAATTGCTGAACTACCACAAAGTAACCGTTGCAGCATCAGGCTGCAGTAGCACTCAACAAAATTTATGACTTGACGACAGCATCTGTCATAGCGTTGTTGCGTTAGAATGACTCAGTGGCAACAGAATCCAAATTGGTATTAATATGTTATGTTTTATAAAAACATCACTGATGTTATTACTCAAGACTGAGGAAAAAGAAGGGAGTTATGAAACAGGCCTGGTAAAAATCACGAGGATCACTTTTTTTCTGGCACACGCAACCTTAAAATATTCAGACACAACCAGAGGACAGAGTGCAATCTGGTTGCTACATAATTTAACATGTCTAAGAGTAATTCAGTTGATGTGATGTCCGCAGGGTTAGAGCACAGACTCATATTTTGATAAATCAGCTCACAGAGAGGGATCAGCCCAATGTAACTCAACGTATTTTGATAAGTACAGAGACCGTCCTTAAATCCTAGATCAGATGTCCTTAGCTTTATTTATGTTGCTTGATGCAATTACATAACCAGAGAGGAATATTTTTGACCATCAAAGATGGTTGATTGTTGTGTATTCTTCAAAACTAGACTGAACAGATTAATTTATGATTACAGACAAAAACAAGCTAAATGTACAAGAAAAGATTTTGAACTGACTCAAAAGTAAATCATAATAACATTTATAATTACAACAATAACAACCATATGACGCAAAATCATTGTAGATATTAAAATAAGAGTACAAGCAATATTTCCAAAATTGCTTTTCAGCCTGTATTATTTAGGTTCAAATACAGTTTAACCAAGGTAGGGCAACATTGTGCAATAGTACATGCCTAATGGCAAACATGGTTATACATAGTAACAGTAATAGTTTTACTGACAGTTCTCTTGGGTGGAGGAATGTCACAGGTTATGGCAGCAAGGTATTTTATTGGCATGACTCAAGTCTTTGAAGGTAGTGGTTGAGATGACAGGTGGTAGTCGCTCATGAGGAGCTGCGTCTACTGCGTTCTAGAGACAGTTGGATCAGATGTTCAGATCAGATTTCTCAGATGTTGATGGCAAATTGCAGTTCCCTGTTCTTCTGTCGCCATGTTGTCATATAGGTTTTTTGTAATGGTTGGAAGGCCAGACAACCTAGTGGTGCTCTGCACTCGCTGGAGCAAAGCCGAAGAAGGATGGAGAACTAACATTTGAGACGGTTTGGCTGTGAGGCAGTTAATTTCCACCTGTGGTCTGATGAACTCGAAAGATTTGTCTGATTTTAATATTCAGTCATTGATCTTTAAGGAATATTGAGCAGGCTTTCTTAGCCCCAATGTAAACAATAATACATTTTTACATTCTTTAATATACCTTGGTCGTAATGCCAAAGGTCTGGTGAGCAATAAATCCATTTTCAAGCATGTCCTTGTTATCCACAACACTGCATGCACATCAACTGCAAAAACTGCAGCTAGAATAATGGCACTAGAATACGGATGCAAGGTTAGTCTCAGTGTCGGACTACTGGAGACTCTCAGGTCGTGGTTGCTTTATCATCCACAGAAATTTTGCTGTGTGGGAGAAGCCCATTGCATGGCTCTTTGAAGAGTGTGGCAGTAGTAGAAAATGACTTTTTTATTCGAGAGTCTTTTCTTCGATCATACAGATCAAAATAAAGACCTAGTTTGCCAGCAATGATTCTGCCAGTTGTGGATTTGGTCCCTCACTCACAGGTACAGCTGTCAAGATGTGACATTCCTGCTCACTTTTGGACATTTTTTGTAACTTGAGAGTACATTTAAAAAATTGTCATTTTTCACTTTGGTTGATTGGGATATTTTATTTACTGTGTAAGAGCTTTAGTTGTGAGGAAGGGTGCTGGACCACAGAGCTGACAAAATTGTTGGCAGGCTAGCTTCTCAGTTCAGCTGTGTACTATGTGGAAACTCAGATGATGAGTTCATTTCTGGCCAAGTGGTAGTCGTCTCTTTTCCTTTTTGATAGCGTGTCCCTTCATGTTCCTGAGTTTATGAGAGCGTTGTGGCTTATCACTGTTGTTCTGCAGTGTTTTTTTCTCAGAAGCCAGTACTCATAGAGAAAGGTGAATGATGTTGGATGAGGAGATACTAAAACTATCACTTTTACATCTTGCTGCCAGCGAAGTAATGTTAGTGTAATTTTAACATCCAACATTGCTTGGATTTATATCACACCTCTGTGGCCTGTGGGGTGTGATACTCTCGGCAATAGCAACAAAATTCAGTTCACTGTCACAGAGGAGTAAAGAAACCAGAAAATATTGACAATCTATGGATTAATTGTTGCAGTTCTTTTATTACTGTGAAATATTGAAAATGTTTCTGTTAGTGTTGTGCTTGAGCTTTAATGTTTGGTGTTTCGGTGGATCACGGTTAAAGGAAATCCATTAAATTGGTTCTGTGAATGCTCTGCTCTACCACAAACCTATTTTGAGAGAAACCAGAGCGCGTAAAGAAATGGGATATCACTTCTCTTACTTTTGAAAATGGGCCAGTCAGCCATAAAGTCCAAGGCCAAATTTCTTTCCCAGCCCTCCCCTGCCCACACACAGACACACTTGCATGCATGCAGACAAACACTTTTAACAATGACTGTACTTTTTCTCAGAGTTGTACATACAAAAAAAGGATGTGTGAGATTGACTAGAATGTTCTCCAATTTAAGTCTCCTTTGTATCTGGTTTTGCCACTCCACATCTCTCAATACACCGTGTAGATGGGATAATCTCAACTGTGATGTGATTCATAGGCCCTAAATAAGAATCACAGCTAGCCAGGCTTCTCTCTTTCTTTGCTTTGAACAGTTACTTTGAGAAGCAGAAAGCAGAGTGGCAGAAGGAGCCGCATGAGCCCACCATCCCAGAATCCCTTGCTGCCGCTGCAGCAGCAGCACAGCAGCTTCAGGTGTCCAGGAAGCAAGATGCGCGCCAGACAGCCACTTTCAGACAGCAACCCCCACCTATGAAGGTACTTGCTTACTGACCTGAAGTAGCTGCAGTTGGGATGTGGAAGATAAGATAGATTGATGGTTTCACCAAATAATTGAGCAACAAAAGAACTGTAAATTTTCAAGATGCAATCATCTCCTAGTTGTGTCATATTTGGAGAAAATGGTAAGAATACAAACTCAGACACCAGCTTAATGTTGAATAAATAAAAGGAATAAGCTCAGTCAGATACACACAGGTACAACTTAAGTTGCTTGCTTATCTGTACAACACAGTAAGGACATAATATGAAGTGATTGCACTAAATGTCTCCCCCTCTCTCCAGGCTTGCCTGTCTTGCCACCAGCAGATTCATCGTAATGCTCCCATCTGCCCATTGTGCAAGGCCAAGAGCCGTTCCCGTAACCCAAAGAAGCCCAAGAGGAAGCCAGATGAGTAGATCCTACTCTACCTTCAGCTTTGGTAGGGTTCAAAGGGACCTGGTCCAACACACTGATCTAAGATCAGCCATGTACGTCACGATATATGGCTGAAATAAGAGATCTGTGCTTCAGGACAATTTCCATAAACAGTTCCCACTTTAACAAACTGTCTTAGTACTTTTTTCCTAAACTGTCAACAGTTGATCGAGGATCAGGGCCCTGTTTCAGAAGGCGGGTTTAGTGAAAACTCCCAAGTTTATTAAGCCTGAGATGTAGGAAACTCTGTGTTGTCTGTTTCAGAGACTGAGATCAGGTAAACTGTAGAACAGTAACTTCAGAAACTTATGCTGTGAAGCTAACCTGCTCTAATGTGACACAGCGTTGGTGTTGACGCCCTGGGAACGAGAACGGGCAGGTTCTTCAAACTCTTGAGTTTCTCTCTGACTCCTCCCCTCCTGCGGAACCTGAAGTAGCTATGGAACACAATGTTCAATTCCCTCATTCATACTGTTGTTACCAAAGCACATACGTAACGCATTCATTTGCAGAAGTTTATGTCTTCAAAAACATCTAAATCCTGGTTAGATATTAGTTTGTTATCCAGACGTGATCTTTAATACGACCACGATCCACCGCTCATCGATGTGAGGACAGAGACAGCGTGCATTCATCCTCAGCACAGAATAAAATATTTAGGCTACACTGTCCTTCTTTCACTATGACTCTGGATGTCAAGACAGCTTGTCAACAGTTGCACTGAAATATTAAGCATTGGCTTAATTAATTCAGTAATTACTGTAAACAAGTCTTTATGAACCTGTAAATGATTGATGAATCAGTTGATGTTGGAATGGAACATTCCCATCGTAGTGTTCATGTTGGAAATGATGTGAATGTTTCTGAGCGGTGATGATTGGGGTGCAGCTGAAACCATTTTAAAATTCTAAAACTGTAAATGTAGTTTAAAAGTGAGTTTTTGAAATATTAGCAAATAATAAATATTGTAGTCTTATGCTGTTTTTCCATTACCGGTACCAGCTCAACTCGCCTCGATTCGGTTTTGGCCTGCTGTCCTCAGATTTCCATTGCAGATAGTACCCAGAGATAGTACCCCTTTTAATGTAGCTCGTCGTCATAGCAACGCCACATATAACTGCCGCAACGGAGGTGATACGAAAAAAAAAGCACCTGGTAGCATGTACAGGTACAACTTTTCCACAATGGAAAACCAAAAACAGGCGAGTCGAGCTGGTACCGTGCGGTGGAAATGGGGCTTTAATATGTTCTGAAAGCATTTTATTAAATGCGATCTTCAGTTATTGCCACCAGCATTTTGTCCCCGTCAGGTTACAGCTGAATAAATGTTAAATCGATTGTAACATACAGGATTCCAGCATATCTGGTGAGTGAGCTACGCTGAATAAAATGTTAGTGTTAACGTATTGACTCCTTCCTCTATACTGTTTTTTAAGATAAATGTCGTTTGCCGGCATTCATATTTCCTGCACCACTGGATTAAAATGGAGCCTCTGCTCTTTATTTACCCATTGCCGAGGTGAATCGTAATATCGCAGCTCCATTGATGATGGCTTTCTTTTCATTCTCCATGCACATACTTAACTCACCGTGAACATAATCAAAGTTGATTGAACTGTTCTGGAACCGAAAACTCTGAAGTTTCTCCATCTCAGGGTTTGTTAAACCTGCTTCCTGAAACAGGTCCCCGGTGTCATTCTGTTGTTTTAATCAGTGCTTTGGATGTGTTTATCTGTAATTGTATGACTTCTTTAGTAAGTATTCTAGCCCCTAACCATGTAACTGCAATAAAGCAAAAAGGAGCTTGATAAAATGTCTAAATAATTTTGCCCATGTTGCTATTGTTTATTGCCATAGATATTGTACTGTACTTTCTTTTATTTTTTTTGTAATGCATGCATGCTTCCATGGCTGTCAGTTGTGTACTTTTTGTGCTAATATAAAAATTTAATAGGTTTAATCGCAAAGTTAAATAAAACAGTGTTGTTTTAATGTTTACAGTGTTCAAGTGACCACAGACTGGAGAAGAAAGCCCAGACTCATTTGCTCTGAATAGTGTTGTGTGTTTTACTTTAATAGTGAGAAGAAAATAAATGGCTGTTTTGTACTAACCTTGTTACCATGTCCTTTAAAAAAAAAAAAATACTGAAAACAAAAGGCTAGACACTTGTTTCTGTTATTTAGCGGTGTGAACATAAACACAGCTGTAGCTGAGCCGTGTGTGTGAGGACATCAGCACATCAGTATTTATTGGGCACACTGGTGGGTTTTGCCTGTGTGTCAAAACAAATAATTAGGAATATGTTTGACTCCAGCATTGTCCCTTTCGTTGTATTAAGCCTGTGCCTGTCATGTCTGCAGCTGTCTGTCTGGAAAAGGACAGTGAGGGCTCACTAAATGAGTTCCTGTAGCGTTTTTGTCAGGGTAACCCCTCATTTCATCTGTTGCCAGGGAAACACCACCTTCTTTAGTCGTTGCTAAGGCAACCCCAGGTTGCTGTGACCTGCACGTGTCCACCAAGTAGTTCCTCCCAAAACCAGTGAGGGGCAAAGGAGGCCTTTGGGAGATTTGGCACAAACTACCCCAACATGCACACTCCTGTAACAGAGAAATACTTGTTACAATGCTGTAAATAATCTGATCAGGTGAACTACATGTGGCTCGTTAGTTTCACAGTGAGCTCGTTTGTCTGTGTTAAAGTTAAGCTTACTCCATAGCTCGAGTGTGTGTTTAGTCTGCCCTTCGGTGTTTGGAAATGCAGTTGTGTCTTCTTCCTCCTGATAAAACTCCTCAAGGCCAGAGAAGCCTGTTCCTGCTCACATGCGCTGCAGGCAGATGGATCGTGGAGCTCCGCCTCTGCAGCCTGCCACATGAGATAACCACATAAGAAATAAAGAAATATCGTCGTCATTTCAACACCGTGGAAGAAGTGAGTCGCACGAGAGCGTCTGCTAACCCGTCTCATCTCCTCCCTGAAAGTTTTGAGCCTCAGCATTGAAATGAGTTTAAGTGGTACGGGCTGGCCTCCAGGACCTTGACACACGAGATTGCGGGAGGTTTGGTCTCTCTCCAGTTGTGTGCAGTCTGGGAGAGAGAGGTTACACCGACGATGATCTGTAAACCCGGCCACTAGTCTTTCAGGTTCTGTCCTCTCGCTCCCTCTGGCGCCTTTGTGTTTGTGTCTCCCCCTCTCTTCTTCGGAGGTCTGTTTGCTTCGGACCCGAGAAATCAATTTTCTGCATTGGATTCTTAGCACTTCTTCCTCCTCCTCCATTTTGTACAAATCACAGCACCCGGGACCACAACTGTTTCTTATCAGCTATAAAATAATATCAGGGTGACTGCACACCATACCTGACGCCGACTCAGTTCAACCTGTAGCCTATATTAAGCTGTGGTCCACCTTTCTGGGGGGAATAAACAACCAACCGTTTTCTTTCCGAAAAACCATATATGTAACCAAATATGAACCAATCTAAAACTAGAAGAAAGGTCAATGACGAAAAATGGCTTCTTCTTTCACCAAACTGTTTACGCGGCCTCTTCTTTTGGTGTTTACCACAGCTGCACTTCCTGCCGTCGGCGCATCTCTATCGCCATCTGGTGGTCGACAGGGGAAGCACAAGGACACGGTCTAATTCTGATCCAATCCTGTGTCATTTATTTATTTATTTCAAACATTCAGTGATTTTTATTCATCACATGTAGACCAGAGGATGTACAGTTAAATGTAAAAAAACAATCACAAGACCAACCAAATAAAAATGCGCAATACAAAGATGAAGAAAACAACATGTGCAATATTTACAGAAAAGCGTGCAGTAACAAGGCCATACTATTTTTTTCTCCCCAAAGGAGAGGGTAGAAACAGAAGATCTAAAGGTTTAAATTAAAACTATGTTTACAGTGATCATTATCAATAATAAGAGGGAAGGTGAGAGCTGTAGGCTGTTGGCTTTCATTTATGTAGTCAGGTTTTTGACATAATATCACATAGTCTGTAGTGTATATATAAATTTGTGTATTACAAAATGCAAAATACATTCAGGAAGTTTGCATTAAAAGCCAGTTTTAGTTATCCATATTTAATTACTCAAATAAATAAATAAGGTTTCTTCATGTATTTGTGCAATGCCAGGAATCTGGACTTTTGTGCCATCTGCTGAAAGAATGTAGTGTGTCACAGTCTCCCTACTAAGCACAGGACAGCATGAAGACATGGGTGGGTTTGGCAGAGGAACAGCTGACTGGCTGCTTCTCTAAAGCTTCTGACAGTCACACAGCTGACGCTTACTAAAATGGCTGCCTTGGTGTGAATTAAGGAAAGAGGGTGATAACAGGGCAGATACAGCAAACTAGCTGCCTTGCTCGCTGATTACTTGGCGTTATCCTCACTGTGGGAAGCCAAACAATGCAGTCGTGGGCTGTGGTGTCTTTACAACCTGTTTAACAAGCTGAAACACAACGTGGAGAATCACAACATGCACCGTGACCCAGAGACATAGACGTCTCCATTTCATTTTTGTTTTTTATTCAGGACACAGGGAAAGAGAGGCTCACTCACCAATCACAGACAGAGTGTCAGACTGGTATCACCTTTCTAATTATAATCCTGAGCCTGGACTCTCCAAGAATGGAAGTTTACCCAGGCCCATCTGTGGCCTAAAATTAGCCCCCCACCCCAGAAAGGAGCTCTGACCCCCCTTGTCAGTTAACATACACACACACACACACACACACACACACACACACACACACACACACACACACACACACATCCACACATTCAAACCACACTGCACTCACAGCTCAGCATCACACACACCTTGGAGGACCTTTCTTTCCTTCTTTCTTCCAGTGACTTATTATGGAGCTTTAAAGTGTTTAACTTCTCTTCTAATGTTTTTGGAAATAACATCAGCAAGCAACTAGATGAGGTGAGTGTCTTGTTACAGTAAGACCAGTTTGCTGCTGTTGATACAAACCATGTAACTTTGTTTCTTCTTTGCAAATTCTTTAGTGGGAAAGAATTCATTTTGTCTGTCCATGAGTAAAAATTACAGTTATGCATTTCTTAGAAGCCACGCGCATTATATTTACTCTATTTAGGCTGTATTACTGTGATTTGTCTTATATACAGTAATTATGCCATGTAAACAAACTACATTGTCTTATGGTACTACTTCATGGTAAAAAGTGACATTCTCTGCTTTACATGTAGAAATTTGTTATGTTGATATAAAAATCATACCAAACAAATTCAATATGACAAGAGCACGTCAGCTGTGTATGTGCTATGGTGTATTATCAACTTTCTCTGACATTTTTTTGACTTTAGCCTGCAGTTACATTATGGTTCTGGGCCAAGCTGTCAACATGAGTTTGATGGACATTTCTAAGATATTCTCCCTGCTGCAGCCTAAGGAGGAGGATGAGGACAACGAGCAGTGTCAGGCCCTGAACAACGCGGTGAGCAGCAACGATGTGACTCTGCTCTCTGAGCTTCTGTCTCAGGAGAGTTACAGGAAGTCTATCAATGCTCGAAGTGGGTGGGGGGTCCCAGTAACCCCCTTGCGCACTGCCGCTGCTCTGGGACACCTGAGGTGCTTGGAGTTGTTGTTGGAACATGGTGCAGAGGTAAGATACAGAGAGAGCATTTTGTGCAGCTTTCAAATATGAATGGTGAGATGTCTGTTTGAGGTGTGGAGGGGGTGGGTGGGACACAATAGCTGTGCCTGGCTGGTGGGTGTAATAGACATAAGTGTCCTATTTCATAACCAAAATTACCTACTACATTCAGCTTTCACACATTTCATTTAAAAGCCTAAAAAGTTCCAAATTAAAGCTGCACTACTGAATATTTTTACATGAACAATGGTTCAAATGACCATTGTTCACATACATTGTGAAGTGAATTTTCACCTTGTGAGTAAAGAGAGTAAACACAACAGACAAATGAACCCAAAATTAACATTTAGCTGTGATTTAATGGCAATAAACGTATCAAAAGGATGCTGAAATCACAACTTCAGGATGCCGATATTGTTAAAGGCATGCTTTGTCAGGCCTGTCTGCAAGATGACAACCAAACAACATTTAAAATGCTTGTTTTCTAAATGGCGTTCAGATCGGTCAGGGCTATGCTATGCTAATTTGTTTCAGAGTAAAGTTCAATGAAAGCTAGAATTGACTAACAGACACATTTTTTTCTGAATTTATCAGGTAGTTCAACTTTGTGTAACCAGATTTCTGAAATGAAAACCAGGGACATTTTTGGTTTGGTGGTCAGTATGTCATTAAAAAATATGTTATTATATATTTAAAAACGGGGACAATTTTGGTTTTATAATCTGTCAAATATAACTCTTCTGAATGAAATCAAGTCATTTTGAGGCCAAAACTACCTTTCAGTCAATAGGTAGTGGCTGCAATCACTTTCTGTCAAGTGAAATACTGCATGTTATGGTTTGTATTGGCCATTTAAAGATATTTCAACAGGTAAAAAGAACTGGATTGGTTGGTACACAACAAGTTAAATAATGTAGAGTCATAAGGACAATTGCAAAAGAAATCATGTCTTTATTTTATATATAACTCAGCAGTAAGTTGTGTTAATTATAGGCTACATTCAGTTTTCCAAATATAAACAAGGATATTAGATATATATACCTACCAAACACATATTCCATGCCAACAGGCTTCTATTAATGCCTATAATGATGTAATGTCATGCCTGGTTACACTATAAATTGCAAACACTTACTGAGATTATTCCGTTAAAAGAATCGTTAAAGTATCACAAAGACATACCATTGCTATTACCACGGACATAAAGTGATGTTTATATGATTAACACACAGTTAAAAACGGGGACATTTCCGTGGACAGCTCCAGACGGGGATGTCTGGTCACCCTACTTTGTATGTAATTACAAACAGTAAGCGAAATATGAAATGTGTCAGTGGGAGAAGCCCAAATAAATGACCCATCTCTGCAGTGTCTCAGCTCTACAGAACCTTTTAGTGTCTTTAACCTCTTTGTTTTTGTTTTCTGTCTTTTAAAACTCTGCTGCAGGCAAAGAAAAAGCTCTGATAAATCCACAATATGCTGCTTGACCATTACCAAACAGAAGATGGACAATATTAGCAACTAGCTAGGGAAAGAGTGGAGCTGCTAAGAAGCCAGATATGTTTAGAGCTGTTTCTTAATGCAGCTTTAACGGTAGTGCACAATTTGTCAGGAACATGTTACTGAAATGCTGTGTTTGAATCCAGATTGACAGCCTGGACGTGAAGGCCCAGACCCCCCTGTTCACAGCTGTCAGTGGGAAACATCTGGACTGTGTGGTTGCTCTGCTGAAGGCTGGAGCTGATCCCAACGGCAGCCAGTACAATAACTGCTCCCCCGTGCTGACTGCAGCCCGAGAGGGCGACGTAAACGTGCTCAGAGAGCTCCTGCGGTTCGGAGCTGAGGTGGACGTCAGACCCAAAGTCCCAGAGTGGGCCTCCAGTGCCACAGCCTGCAGGGGGCCCCTTTATATCTCAGCTGTTTATGGACACCTGGATGGCTTTAAACTGCTCCTTCTCCACGGGGCCAACCCCAACTTCAACTGCACAGACGAGAAGCTGCTGGCCAGGATAAAGCAGCCAAAGACAGTTCTGGAGGTGTGTCTCCGTTATGGCTGCGGGGTGGAGTACATCCAGCTTCTCATAGACTTTGGGGCAGACGTGTATCTTCCCACACTGATCATTGACAAGACTACTAAACAGAACGAAGCTCTGGGTCTACTGCTTAAAGAGAGAGGTGAGACACTGACTATAGTCGGTTCTGTTAGCGGTGAAGTGTGGAATGTCTCAAATTTCTAAAGTTGGTCCACCTTTGTTTGTCTGTTTCTGCCCCAGTTTGTCCCAAAACACTGATGTCGCAGACTCGGCTAGCGATTCGAAGATACATCCCCCTTGCCAATAAGGAGCCTGCCATTGACAGGTTGGACATGCCTCTGATCCTGAGGAACTACCTGAAGCATGACACCTCTGAACTCATATGATGCTCAGTTTATTATCAGAATTTATGGCCAGTAGTGTTTATTTGTTTGTTTTTTTACCTCATTGTTGTACACTCATGACTGAATGATTGATTTGTAGCGTTGCCATGTTTTCCTGCAAGTAGGTCAAGGTAACGCAGACTCTCACTCAACCAATCTCAATGTGTAATATTTTTGGTTCCTTTAGAGGTCACTGTACTGTACCAGAGCTGGAAATTTTTTATTATTTATACATGAAGATTGAAGTGTGTGACTACGCATAGATGTATTTATTAAATAGCTTAAGTTTGAATAGCCCCACAAAGCTCACTGAAGTGTCTTTGCCAAACACAGACAGATGATCTTGCTGAGGTGCTGCCAAAAGCTGCCATGTCCCTGGGAAGTGCAACACCGTGGTTGACCACTAGAGACCACAGTAATACTGTATTTGAAATTTGACAATTTTGAACGTTAATGCCTCTTTGCGTCTCATCTTTAGCTCTGTTCTTTTCACAGGTGACATTACACAATCCAGGATAGTCTCACTTTAGTTATGGAGACATCCAGAAACAACTGGAGAAACGCATACACACACACAGACACACACACACACAAAGCGTTTGCATCGCACCAGAATCTCTTAGATCTTGCATAAACAGCCTTGCATCTGTTGACTTCAAAACATCAGGAAGCGGAGTGATCAGTCTACACTTCAGCACGGCCAACTGGGAAAATAAATTTGCATAAGTCTCATTACTTATTGATTGCGGCATGGTTATTTGCAGGCAACAATTTGTGTGGCTGGAAGTTTGTTGAAAATGTTCTTTTGTGACTAGTGAACACCGTCCTTTAAATGTGATCACCTTGTGCTTATGTGCCTTTAAATCTGTCTTCTGTGACACATTCAGGAGTGAATGTGTCAGCTGCTGGGAATGAGACCTGCAAACAGGAAATGATGTCATAACACAGGAAACCCAGCACAATGCTCTCCCTCACACATTGACGCCTGGACACGCAATTCTGTAGAGGTTTTATTTTCAACAAAAGTACAGCTATATCAGATATGGATTTATTTTTACAGCAAAGTACAACATATTCCCAGTGCTTCTGATTACATCAAAACATATAATGTACATACAGTTGACATCTCCACTCTCCCATTCACAGTTTCTGGATTGAATAGGCATTATTTTTCAGGTTTTTCAGTTATACAACAAATAATCAAACTCAAAGGCCAGCAAAAAAAAAAAAGACAAATGTTTGCATATGGTGACAAAGGATATGGATACTATAAGTGAAGTCTTCCATGACAGGCAAAGAAATCCAGACCTCAAACTAGATGGTAATATACAATGAATAGATTCCAAAAGTGGGATGTCAGTCTTCCGTTAACCTTGATGTCATTGAACACCACATCAATATATGGCTCATTGAACACTCTGTTGTAACCTGACTATTCTGAAACAACACAGGACCGCATAAAAACCAACTGCAAGGAGTTCCTACTGAAGATGTTATGCTATGCTAAATGTGAATGAACGCGGTTAGCGGCTCATGTACACCCTGGACTAAAAGGAATGACATAAATTTGAACAACTTCTGATGCATCCAATTGACAGTCTGCTAACTTGGCTGTCTTGCTTTTGTGACTGGAAAGAGAGAGAGAAAAAAAGACTTAAACTGCACAGAAGGCTGTCCTCTCAGCTCTCAGTACGAGGACAGAATGATCATTTTATAAGAAAATAAAACCAATATATACATCCTTTTAACAAGGTGGCCAAAATGGTACTATTTAATACTGCATTCAATAAATACAAGTGAGGAATTAATTTGTCCTGTCAAGCCATTGTACTTCAAAGAATCGTTTCTTAAGTAGAAACAAGAGCATGACATGAATTGCAATGAAGCACTGTGTGTGTGTGTGTGTGTGTGTGTTTGTGTCTTCAGGATTATGTTTATTTTTAGCTCATCCCGGGAGGTTTCACTTTTATTCAGCTCTCCTTCTCTACTACAAATCTATACACAAACACCCATGATCAGTGCTAACTCCTATTTGGTTCACTGTTGTCATAGAAAAAGTATACCCGTTTTGCCTCAGCGGTTAATGGCACTCCAGAAACACAACCGGCAGTCTGGACCACGACAGTGTAGGTTGGAGTAAAAGAAAAGGAAAAAAAAAAAAAAAAAGATCAAAAAGATTGTTACAGTTCATAGTACCCACTGTATCTGGGCAAAGAGAGCATCAGTGCCTTTCATTTCACCTATCGACAGTTCAGTCTTTGATTCAGCGGTGAGGAAACATGTTCCCCTCTACTTGACAATAAATAAGAACGGAAGCTACGGCCTGTGATGTGTAGTGAGCAGGAGACAGGTGGACAGAGAAAAGAACTCCCTTTAGTGAGATGGTATGGGTTCACAAATGGATGGTTCCGCTTTGTGGAAAAATCCCATTGGGAGTTATATGAAACTAAACAATCTGTTAAGAGTTGTCTTAAGTCTCATGCAAAATATTGGATGCCACAAGCATGCATTTACCTGGTACTGAGGTCTACCGCACGCTAGAACTGGAACAACATTCGTCTCCAACGCAAAATACCAATATCCAAATATATGATCTGTTCTTTTTACATTATTTACAGTGTGTAGCTGATAAAGGTAAAATAGATGATTCTTTTGATTCATAACTCACTGTTAATAATATAGTTTGAAATGTGCAACCTAACTTCACTAATGAAAATCTGTTTCCTACTATATATTCAAATGAAACCATCTTTCAGCATGTTAAATAGATAACAATAAAGGAACTCTATGTAGTTTCTAAACGTCTGAAATCAGAATTAACTTCTCCTTGTGCAATAAAATTACCGCTATGTGTGATATAATATAATAAGGTGTTTTAAGTGTTTCAGTCAGACAGCACAGTATCTACTCATACGGAAAAGGCCTGACCTCTAAGCTTCTGTCCGAGTGGATCTCATGCACTGGGGAATGAGGAATTCCCAGTGTGTATGAGAGAAAGAGAGACAGAGAAACAGAGAGAGAGAGAGAGAGATGCAAGTCCTACACTGAAGGGAAAATACATGACTAATTCAAATCTGCCTGTGAAACTGAATAGATAATCACTAGTGGAATGCTGGAAGGCACTGTTAGATAGCATCTCTCTTCTCCGCAGCAGAACGGGCCAGCGAGTGCGCATGATTATGTGTCTGTGTGTTTGCCTGTATGTATGTTGGTGGGTGGGGTGGGGGTGGGGGGGTTGTTGCACGGGACCTGAGGTTATCATGGCCTGGGAACCATATCGTTTTTGCTGTGCCAGACCATGGATTTATCTTCCAAAACAATCTCACTGGGAGCCATCTCTACAGACACCAGCAGCCAACTCACCCATTTCTCAACTTTCTTTACTGAAACAAAACATAAATTACACAACATACAAAGCAATTCTAAGGTCTTTTTTTTCTCCAATAGGTTATAAGGCCTATAAGAAGGCAAACAAATGACATAGAACGATATATAACTCTTTCATATCACGTTGTAGTGAATAGTGAAGAAATATAATGATATATCACATTGCACAAGTTGTCATACTGTATATGTACTGTCCATCAGGTGATATAATTCAACACAAAATGTACTTCTGTATCTGAGGTCAAAATATGATCACAAACCATGGACAGATGTGTCACTTACATTCCAACCGTAGAAAAAAGAATACACCTCAGTAGTTTCTCCTCAGTACATCGTCCTTTTTCTAACACCTCTGTTGAAGTAGCACGGGATCTCGCTAACGGCAGCGTCGGGGACATTGCTGATTAATCATTCGGATCAGGCCACAGTCCTTTTGTAAATCACTTAACAGTGCCAAGCTAACTGCCAGGGCAAGGATCAGATCTGGAAAACAGCGTGACGGGGAGCAGTGCCAAGGTTTGAAGCTGCAGTCTTTAGAGATGCATGAATATGTCAGAGGACACCTACATGCTACAGATTACATTCACCCTCCCGCCTCCCTTTGGTATTGGCTCACACTTCCGCACTCTATCCTGACTCACAGTCACCTGATATGGTTGTCCTGTTTAATTATAATTTCTGCCATTTTTGTTGACCATTTCCCCTTGTGCTGGTTACAGCTCTAATTTCTCACACTATGGCATGGCATGACTGCATCGTTCCTACTCAAATGAGAGAAGAAGTCCTACTCAAACTGAAGATGTGCTGTGTGCTTTTTAAAAAGTGAGAAATATAAAATAATTAAGTCAACTGAAGAAGTCTTTTTTTGTTTTTCCCACAGCTGACGTGAAAAAAGAGATATTGTTTTGGACCTTGGCCAATGCATCAACTTCACTTTAAGCTCTCAGTGGACTTCTGGAGGTAGGGCGTGCTCTTTCCAAACACCCAGTGAGCTGCCAGCACAGTGCTACAGGGGTGGTCTCTGGGGAGAGTGGGGAGGGGCTCTGACACGAGGCAGGTGAACCCTAGCCTGCCTATCTCCTGCTCCCAGCTGTTTCATCTGAGCTCTCCGTCAAATGCAAAACCCACAGCCCCTCAATGTAATCGGTTATGAATACCCTGTCAAAAGTGGTTGGTGAGCGGATGTAAATATTCTATTGATGTTTCGACTATTGATTTGCTCCCTGACCCATCATCGCCGTGGCCAATGGCAGGATTCCAAAAGAATGAAGCTCTCCCCCTGAGAGCCACTGACTCACAGAGGCGGAGCAGGCGGGTAGAGAGAAAGAATGAGGAGGACAAGAAGAGGGATGCAGAGAGAGTGAGGGAAACACTGTGAACATCAGACTTGTTGAAGAGAGGGGTTACTATACGCAAACAGCTAGCGAGAGGAACATGGAGCGTTGAGAGTGATGAGGCGATCCAGACGCAGACATCAGTGGAGCAGAGATGATCTAACTGGTCTGTGATCGGTCTGGCTTCGTAGGTCCTTCAGACGTTATTATTCAATCTCACATTCAGAAGAAAGCGACAAGCAATCTCACACAGCAACACAGCAAGATCTCAGCTTTTGGATACACTCACACTACTGGGGAAGGCCCTAGCTTGGCCTTGGGTTACTTTCCAGATGATGAATTAAAAATGAAATAAAAATAACAATCTCAGTAACTCCAGGACATTCAGATGGTGTGAATATGCAGAATCCGAAGAGAAAGAGTTCATGACAGTTGACTCAGCTGGAGAAGCATGATAACTAAGAACGTTACTAACATATATGAATTGTAAGTTATTTTTTTCCTCAATTTCTCAAGTCTTCAGTCCTCTTGCTGCTTCCAATCACACTCTATATTAACATTGGTCCTTTACCTCGAAGTCTCTTGTGTATGTGTTTTTTTCGTATTTTTCTTCGTCATGGGACATGGTCATCCAGTGTTTAGTGCTTCTAAGAAAAATAGCTGGTCCTTCAGAAGAGTCTGTGTATCTCTATTTCTTAAATGGAGCTAATCTACTAAAATTCTGCCAGAAAGGAGCCTGGCCTCTTTTGGATTGACTGAATTCAAAAACCTCTCCTTGTGCCATGTCCTCCGTTACCTCATACTGCCCCGCACTGAGGGGGTCCTGGGGGGGCGGGTATGAGGGGGGCGTGCACCTGTTTACACCTAGGAAGGCAGGTGCAAAAAGAGCAGGTAGGGGGTGGGGTATGAGGGGAGAGGGACAAGGAGGCAGTGCAAGGCACAAAGCAGAAGAGAAAAAGAAGGGAGATGGATAGCAAACAGGAAACATTGTCAGTAATGTATCTGGAACAGACACAACAACACAACATCAAGTCATGCGTCCAAAGAAAACAGGCACGTAGACGTACAAAATGAGCCTTCAGTGGTCACATTCCTGCATATTAAACCTGAGATATGATACAGTATGATCATATGATGACGGCTGAATTGGGAGAAACGTGGAATTCAGCTCTAGCAATGACACAAGGGAGACTAAAGATGCTATTCAATCAAAGTCTGTAGCAGGCAAACAAGAGAACCAACAGATTATATCTGATACAATGATGAAACCAGGCGTTTGGACAAGGGACATTGTTCTTCCATGTTTGTTGGCAGCGCATTTGTTTGAATAGCACCTTCCGACACTTGAGAACACAAGAGTGGCAAAAATAGAGCCAACAGAAAGCTGTTAATATGCATATAACTACAGTCTACAAAGTAATTAAGCTACAGTCTACAAGCATCACAACTATGCTAGTGCAATTGAAAATTAGATACAATCAATATTTGGAGATGAAATATTCAAAAGTTGCCATGGCATCTTATAAAAAATGAAAAGATGAGAACAGTGTCTTTTATTAAAGGTATTTTTCTTTACAGCCAAACACTGTTTTAGCAGTTAGAAGGGTTTTATCTATTTGTCTTAGTGGAACCTGTTTATCTTGGATAGACAAGATAATGCTTGTAAACAGATTGGACAGTGACTGCATGCTCCAATGCCAACGTTAATCACAACACCTCCCAATGCTGCTTAGCAGTTGCCATGGCATCTTATTGTGCTAGCTCTAAGGAGAACTCTAATGCATATACCTTTATCATTTTCAAACCATGTCCATACAACATGGCCCTCTTTCTCAAGATGAAATCTATAAATGAATCTGAAATTCAAGAGAGTACTTCACCTTGTGCCAGCCATGTACACATACAGCACTTAGAAACACACAACATTTACTTCTGACAGACATCTACAGGGATCCTAATGTCAGAGAGAACATTCCAGCAGTGGTCATTGGTTAATTAATACTTCAATGGATGGTCATGCTTATCATGAAACTGGCAATAGCAAGAACATCAGTAATGGTCAATGTACAAACATCTAGCCTCGCACTAAAATGGCTAAATCTTAAAGGATGATACAAGCAGTTTGGACATGTGGGTCCTCTGTCTGATGTTTTGTCAGGAAGCAGCAGCATGAATAACATGTTTGACATGTTTTCCTGTTACTGAGATAGTTGGTAGCTGTTAGCATTAACAGTGTTTTGACATAAACAGAACTTTACAAAGTAACATGATTACCCTGATGTTTCTCCTGACTTCAAGGTGTCATGTTTTTCCATTGTGCTAGATTACACAATGTAAGGTAACGGCTCCTCGTTCTCCAAATTAGATGCTCTAATAAAACAAAATGAATCAACTACAAGCTACACCTGTACGCATGAGAAGTATGCATCAACCAAAAAGGGTGATTTTTTTTCTAGGGTATACTTCGACAATCTGGGTGTAAATGGAAGAGATAAGCGCCATCAACCACCCTAACTCAGTAACAGAAAAAATGCAAACAGTTGTCTGTGGTAATAAATTTTTTCAAGACAAGCGTGACACAGGACCCACATGTCATGAACACCGGTATCGCCCTTTAAACTCAGTAAGTCATGCAAACAGCCCTCTGTCTTTTCATTGATGCTTAACAGCTGCTTTACAACTCATATCAAGTCATCCTCGTGTATGGGCTGACAGACATTTAACTCAGAGGCAACGTAATGAAAGTGATATAGCGAGAAGACATGAATCCACTTGACGCTTCTAGCTTGCTTAGCACACAGATAGTCTAGGTCCATTCATAAACAAAGTAGGCGTGTTTAAAGGTGTAGAAAGTAAAAAAAAAAGAGAGCAGGTTAAGGGTAGAGTAAACAGCGATGAGAAGACAGAGCACACCAGCGAGGAAAAGAAAAGGGAAATCACCTGATATCTTCTTGTTGCCTCACCTTTCTGTTTGGTCACCTTTCTCACTGTCATGGCCGCCTGACGCTTCTGGTACTCAGAGATCTCGAAACCTAAACAACAAACAAGATTGTATATTTTCCAAATGCTCCGCACAAGGGCTGTAATGCATGTGAAAAATGATCTAATAAGCAACAAGAAGCTGCCTTTCAGCGTGACTTAAAAACAGCTGAGACGCATTTAGCCTTTAGGTTTAGCTTGTCACAATAAAGTCCTAACATGACAACATTTTGAGCATGACCCGGCCAGTCAGAGATAACGCCTTATTGTTATGCTCACATTACAGCAACTATTGTTGGAATGTTACGTACATTACACAGGGTATTCATCTGCTGTGCTAAAAAGTACCCTTATAGTTTGCTGCAGCAAATACAACATGTAACCGAAGCTCCGTCGCCCATTGTGAATGAAACTAATGCTTTCCAAAGGGGGAGGTGCTGAGAGGTGTGTGACTAACCGATTTTCTCATCCTCCTGCACCATCTTCCTCTCCTCGTGGAAGGCCCTGAGCCAGCGGATCTTCTCCTCTGGCTTCTTGGCCAGGAAGATGTGGATTTCCTCGCTGTCTCTGTTGCACAACTTGAAGGCGTTCTTCACACTGACGTTGAAGTCATCGTCACGCCCGTCTATGGCGTCCCGCACCTCGTAGCGATCCATGTCGATGCGGCCCTTATAGTAAAGGATGTCCCGGCGTATCAGGTCCTGGGGATTAGAAGGGGAGGCAGTCTGTTAATGTGGGTGCATGTGTGTGTGTTTGTGTGTGTGTGCTGAGCCATAGAGGTGTCAACAAGCACCCTTCCCTTGGTAACCTGAGTCTGTCTTATGCAACCCTTTCCATCTGCTGCCCAAATATACAAACACCATCCACACACATCGCAGAATGCCAAATATCTAAGCCTCTGCTTGACACTTGTTATCACAAAATGTACTATGTGTGACAAAGTGTGACTTGGGTAAAAATGTATAACTACTATAGCCACATTAAAAAAAATAAAAATGTCAGATATTCCAAATTTCCTGATGCCCAAGTTGATATCTTATGAGTGATTGTTTCGTCTGGACAGCAATCCAAAATCCAAACATGTTCAGTTTACTACAAGACAAAGAAAATAAGCAAATCCTCACATTTGAGGAGCTGCAATCAGATAATGTTTGTCATTTTGCTAAAAAAAAATAATTAAAGAAGTCATATTATGCTTTTTGGCTTTTTCCCTTTCCTTTATTGTGTTATATATCTTTTTCATACATGTAATGAGTTTGCAGAGTGAAAAAGCCCACTCCAAAGGGAGTTACCATACCCCACAGAAAATACTGCTGCTGAACTACCTGAAAACAGCTTGATTGTATTCCAGCCTTTACTTACCGTAACCTAGCTGCGTCACTATATAACTTGCATGACAATACTCGCCTAGCGGCTAGTGTGGCACAACCTTAAAAAACACTGGTGGAGAAACACACTGAGCTGCAGCACAAGCAGTTACAAGACAACACTTAAAACGTTATACATGAAAGATACATTTCTTAGAAATTTATAACTTACAACTCTGAAAAGTCTTGCTCCAAATATGGTATTTTTTGAAAATGAAACCTTGGAGACCTATTCTGGTACATACCCTAAATAAAATTATGAACCTGAAAATGATGGAATGACAAATAAATTTTCTGTCAATCGACTATCCAGCTCTACAGTGGTTCATCAACCACAAGTAACCTGAAGCTACGTAACTTTTATAATTTGCATGAATAAGATGGCCACATAAAAAACTCTTTATTGTGACCATTGCCTTAGGGCCAAATAACATAAAGTCACACTATAGGGCCAAGGAAAGGTACAAAGAAAAAATAAAGAACAGGCATCTTTTAATCAGCATAGAGAGACAAATCTGCATCTGTGTGTTGATAAGGAAGAGATGAGAGAAAAAGACGGAAGGCTACATGCAACACGTGACTAACACACCCTGAGGTCTGCCATTACACACGTTGTACTGAGGATGCTGGAGAAGGATGCGCAGAACAAAGTCTAGAATTGATAATTTAGTGTTCAGTCTTGAAGCAGACTTTATTTAGTGGACCAGAACAGTCAATACACGGGCAGAAATACTGGAGTTCATTTCTGGTGTCAGAGATGTTTAACAATGCTAGAATGGGGCGGGGGGGACACAGTGGAGGCTAGAAAAACACAAAAAAGTATATATATATATATATGTCTTTGTTAGTGTGTTTGTCTGTGTAATGGTGAAATTACTGTTCCTCTGTGCACACGTGTGCCTATGTGTGGTGACGCATTTTTTAGCCCCTGTGTGTGTTTGTGTGTAAGTGTCTGTCTGCATTTGTGTCTGTGTCTCTGCGTGCATGTATTGTAGAGTGTAGCCGAGCGTGAACATCCATCTGACAGGAGAGCACATCCTTGGTGCATTAGAGTCCAAACCGTCACAGCTCCATTTTGTGAAAGGTGCTGAGGATTTGAACGCATCTTCACTGAGAGCTGGCGCGTCTCACGCTGCGTTATGTAATCTATTTGCAGCTCTCGAGTAAGGTTGAGAAGTCACATTGTCTTCAAGCATCTACGTCACCAGCCGTGTGATACACAACTTTTACGAACACAGGCTGAGGGTATGTTTTTTTATCTTATCAGCTCGTTTTCAGCCAGCAATGTCTTCAAAAAAAAAGGAACAAAGTGAACAAAGAGAGAGAGTGAGAGAGAGAGAGCCTACCTTCTTACAGAGCACCAGCTGGTGATCAAAGAGGAAGAAGACTCGCTGCTGGCTGCGTCCATACGGCTGATAGATCCATGACAACTCCCCAGTGTAGATGAGCTCCGAGCTCCTGTCCAAGATATCATCCCCCTAGACACACACACACACACAGAAACATGGATACGCAATTTATAAATGAAGAGGACACTCATAGGTAGAACAATGCAACTGATGCAACTGCCAAAAGCTCCACCAATTTTACAAATGCAGGAAAGATCAGTTTACTCATCATGGTTAGCGGTTCTCAGCCTGTGAAAACAGATGTATAAAGTCTTCTGTGGCTCTGAAGGAGCTTTGTCAAGTCTGAGAAACTGTGTCATCAGCTTGGGCTTGAAAATTACTTCTTTTTTTTTTAAACAGGAAGCCTGCTTTACAAACTGGAACATTGGGTTCATAAGACATGGCTGTTAACCAGACAGGGGGAGTCTAAGAACAAAGCAACTCAGATTGCATTCTGGGAAATGTAGGATCCAGCATTATTGGAGCTTGGCCCACACTAGCGACTAAAATTCAGGATATCTGTCCCTCTGCTGCATCAACAGATAAAAGAGAAAGCTGAGAAGTTGTCCGTTTTGGTTTGTTGAAAAAAACAAAAAAAAACAATTAAGGAATTAAAGGAGCGACTGGGAATTTTAAAAGCATACACAAACACTACATTAGATTGTTTCCCAAAGTTAACTTTTGTGTAAAACTTTCTACATTTAGTGATAGATATATGGAGTAAAATGTAAGTTCTTCCATTCCTAGGCAAAATCTGTGACTAAACAGATCAGACCAGATTTTGCCAGTATAGCAACATCAGAAGCTTGGTAATTACTCCAGTCTATACATAAACATACCTCCCAGTCCAGAACAGAGGCTTGCCACTGGGCGATCTTGTCGATGTTCTCCAGCCTCCTCTTCCTCTCGTTGATCTGCTGAGTGACGTTCCGCATTACTGCCAGCGCTGCTGCCACGTATCGATAGTCACTACGGACACAGTGTTTACATCATTACCCCCGGGGTGTTAAAGGGAAAAGTTATAGCTCTTGGAGAAAACGGCCTGTCTTTAAAAAAAGACATGTAGTGTTGCAGTAGTGAATGATACAGAGTAGCCTATTAAAGGACCAGCGTTATAAACTCAAGTATTAGCAGCAAGTCTGCTGGAACACAGTCAAAAGAACACACTGCTATTTAATTCTAATCAGCCACTTTCTCTATTCACTGTTAACTCTGGCTGCGTCTATGCTAACTGAGCTGGATTTATCCTTCTGGCTTAGATGTGATCCAAGCCTCACTTTGGAAGATAATGCGTGTGTGTGTATGTGACAGTGCTGTGTGTGTGTGACAGAGAGCAGACCTATATCTGGCAGATTCTCTGCAGCTCCTAACAGTCAAACACTGTGATCTGGCAGGCCTCGCTGGCACCTGTCCCTCTCTGGCTGAGAACGCGTGGTTTGTGAATGACCTGGAGCTGGCTGAGACACGCTGAATCACTTACACCGTGTTTCTGTGGGCTCACACGCATGAGTTTGCACATCTGGATGCTCGCGGATGTGGCTGTGATGAGAGATCATCTGCAAATGTTTATACTGTGTACTGTGCTTCTGTGCTGTGCATGCAGTGTGCGCAGAATGTTGATGCGTGTAGATGTGCCAGCAAAAGTCCAAATTCATATTTAATCTACAATCTATTTATATCCGCGGTTCTATGCAATAATCCTATGGCCGTGTATAGAAATGAAAATGATTTGACATGGTTGTGAATTGTCATTTTCAATACAACTGAGATTCCTTGATGAAATGTTTTCCTTAAAACATTCACAGAAAGCTGGTAAAACAGTTCAAAACATTTTTTTTTTAGTTCATTCATGGATAATCACCGCTTTGGTAGAATAAACCCAACACGAGCAACTGCTGCGTTTCAACACAACACGACTGGAACACAATGATGCATCAGTAACGGATTCTTTTTAGAAACAAATGAACTACCATTAAGCAGCAACACATTCAGCAGATTAAATGTGACCTTGGCTAAAGCGAACCATACCTGTGCTCCTGCGCAGTGTATTTGAGAAGCTCAGCCAACTGCAGTGGATATTTGCAGATTTTCTGGACAGGGGTGAGCAAGAAGCCATCTATGGCAATGTCAATCATTTGCTGGAGGAGGCGACAGGCCTCGAAGAAGTGCTGGTACCTGCCATCCCTCATCAGTTTGCTCAGCTCCATACAGGCATCCAAGTGGTTGTTACAGTATTCTGAATAGATCCAAAAACCATCTTGCTATAGAATAAAGGAAAGATCCATGATGAGAGAGGAAAATATGTAACGAATCCTCTTTTCAATAACTTTATTATTATATATTATATTATGAATAAATTATTAGAGCTGTTTTCTCAATAATAAAGCTTAAATATCTCGTCATCTTGAACTGTTTGCTGGTGACTCCATAACTTAACTGGTAGATAACTAGATAATTAAGTTCTGATCTTGAGATATCAGGCCTAACAAAATTAGTAGCAATTATGGCTACTCTCGCCTGGACAGCGTTTTTCTTTTTTTCTCCCTTCATACATTTTTTTTTATCAAAGTGTGTTAAAAAAAGAAAATACTTAAGAAAACTCACGTGTTCTAAAAAGCACGGTCCAATTTCAGAGAGGTGGGGTTCCTCTGTGTTGTACTGTTTCTCCAAGTCTCTAACAAAGCCCATCTGGAAGCGGTAGATGTCCTCGATGTTCCCAAAGATGACCTTCAGCTGGTCGTCATTGAACATGTCCACACGCTTCCTGCACTGCCGCAGGTAACCCTGCAACAACATGCGTTTCAACTACTGTGAAACTTTCAAAGACGATACAGTTGAAGTGCTAGGACCTGAATTGTGACATGGCTGCAAGGGTATGAGTCAGAAAATAGTACAGGAAAGTATGCAGGGCTATTTCTGTTCATTCTTTGTAATAAACATGTTAAGTCATTCCTTAACTAAAATTCATTTGAATCGGAATGAACTGTGACTCTTCAGAAGCTTCTGTACAGCCAAAAACAATTTTGTATAGGTCGAACTGTGGCCCCAATTTGTCAGTCCAATTCTTGTGGTTAATTAAATGCCCTGAAGCCTTTGCACTATGGGAACAGATTTGCTGTAAGAGGTAGGTTTTTGCTATTTCACACTCCACTACCCAGAATTCTCTCTGTTGTCTTTGAAAAAAAAACACATGCTAAGGCTTTTTGTTTTGTTCTTTAAAGTCAAGTTCAACACAATTCAAATTAAAGCCGTGTTTCCTTGATTTGAGAAAAGGATTATCTTTGTAAGATAATCGAATATTGTGTATATATTTTATATTTTACATAATGATAAGAAGCTTCTATGATACCCCCTTAGTGACAAGCACAGCCACTACAGTCATGGAGTGTCCCATTTAGATCCAGGAAAAAAAAAACAGCTTATTGACATTTTGACCTCATGTGTACGGAGATTTCATAGCAGTATTCCCTTTTAATCAGCTTTCCTGAATCCTTTACCTTTACCTATGTGTGACACACAGTTTGAAAATAGCTATGACAAAGTATAAATCTCATCTTGTCCATAATCTTATTTCAAGCACAACAAAGATGGCTATTAACTCTTCTTGCCTGTGCATGGTTATGGCAAGTTGAAAAGTGCTGAGTACTCTCATGGAGTACTCCCAAGTGTACAGGTGAGAAGGTGAAATTTGCGCTTTACTGCAACTATTTCTAAACATCACGCTTCACCCGGAATACAGACAAAGGGCACACAGATGATTAAGGAAAGGTGATTAGATAAGCAAGAATTTCCACTAGAAAATCTTGCCCACCCAAAGTCATGATGCAAAGTTATATCGTTCTGTATACTGATATGACCGCTGTGTAACCAGCCAATGTGGTGGCTGTGCTGGTGACAAACAACAAGAATGAACTGCTTCACATTAAAAAATAGAATTAATGCATCCTTATTTTAACTAGTTCTGTTTGTTACTTTTGTGAATTTGTATCTATATTTTCCAGCAGGACGAACAACTAGTGGCAATAGACTACAGCACTGTCTAACAGCATGTTATATTGTTACTGCTACTGTAGCAGTAGAACAAATAGATAGGTATGGAAGTGTGATTATAACTAGGGTCTGTTTTCTATCATAAATAAAACAATCATGTAGCTGCTTGGTCATGACTGGAAATCTTAATGCCAATTCATGTTCACATGACTTATCTTCCTTTCCCACAAATATTTGTTTTTATTGAACCAATTATCACATGACACTGCTTCCTTTTGACTTCTTGATTTTAATATCAAGATATGGACAGAGGACCAGTCACTATTAGCTTTGTCATGCTCACAAAGGTAAAACAGTTTCATGTTAGATGAAATGTTATTGTACATGTTTTTACTACACCATGGACTAACACTATGCCTTGTTAAACCAGGCCCGTATATATACTAGACTGGAAAAATTCACAAATTGTGAAAAATCTACATTTAATAAGAGTGACAAAATTATAAAGGGGTGGCTTCACAAAAGGCAACAATAATGTCACAAATAGCAAGGCGTTTGCTTAATTTTATTAGGTGTGGATTTTAGCTTGTCACATTGGCATGATTCATAATACAATGACAAATTTAATCTGGACTAGATCGCTCCAAGTGTGGCAGCTGACACTACTGTGTACAATTAACAAATTGTGTTTTCATATGTAACAAAAAAGACAGTTATTTCTGGACTGTTTTGACATCAACAGAAAAAAAAGAGCCTTGAATAAAAGTGTGAATGTGGGACACATTTCAGCTAATTCGGTTGTTTCCCGTTTACCTGCCCTGGAACTATATGTGTGTGCACGTGTTTAGTACCTCACAGATGTCCTTGAGGTGTTTGATGTAATGTCTCTCTGTGCTCATGATCTCATTGATGACGTTAGCTCTCATCTGGTCTCGGTTCTGGAGGGGCGAGCCCAGACACAGGCAGTCATTGGTCGGGTCCAGGTGCCCGTTCTGTACTTCGCTGGTCCCCTCAGCTGGCTCCGCTCCCCCATCCTCCTGGTTCACCCACAGCTGAGTGCAAATACATTCGCGCGCACACACACACACACACACACACACACACACACACACACACACACACACACACACACACACACATTCACTTGAATATGAAATGGGCTCAGTTAAGCGTTGCATAAATCTGATGAAAAAAGTATTAGTAAAGAGTTACATTTCTGTATTCACATCAGATAACTTTGTCATATTAAGGGGTGGTATTACTCATACCTCATGAGCATGAATGCACACAGCACACACACTTACACACACGCACATCACACAGATAAACACACATCTCACACACACAGAGCTTCATTTAGAGGGTCTCTGGTAGTTTGGACAGTGAGTAAGACTGTTGGTCCAGCATGTCAGAAAGGTGAGGGACAAACTGCCAAACACTCCAGAGTTTTAAAAAAGGCCTCTTTCTGAGACTGGTGCCCAGATGATATGAAATGCCCAACCTCGGCCCTGTGTGTGACTCAAAAGAAATCTCTCCCCCTGCACATATGCATGCATATACACTCGCACACAACCTCACAATCTCCTCACACATGCATGCGCTAACCAACACACACACACACACACACACACACACTCACACACAGATCCACATCCAGAGTGTATTCCACTCTCGCTCATAGAAAGGGCCAAGTGAGCGTGGTTTCAGATGTCCAGCAGCCAGCGCCCGATGACACACAGTTTGCCAAGAGAACATCAAAGAACCGACGGGTAGAATGCCAAACACACGATGAGAAATGCAGCACCACAGACAAGCAGAGTGACGGGTGGTAGAGCACTGACTGCAGACGAGAACTACCAGCGCAGCGTTAAGACTGAGAAATAGTCAGAGTCAATAGTAAATAGAGTGCTGAGAAAATAATCAATATTTAAAATCGAACCAACAATGAATGTTAACAGGAATAATTATTCCAGAATCCATCTAATTCTAGATCAACACAATTGTAGAATTTGAGCATAGGCCACTAAGAAGACATTTAACATAATTTTACTCTTGACTCATCAGTTCTGCCTTTCTATCGACCCTGTTGAGGATGATGTGATAAAAGTCATGGGAACGTTAATGTTTGGTAATGTTGAGGGTACGTTGTGTGGACAGACTGGAGCGGGCGGGTGGGCGGGCAGGCTGGATGGGTGGATGAAGTTGGGAAAACGCACCTTTGACGTGGTGTTTTGGAACCGTGGAGTTGCTATGGGGTTGATATAGAAAACCTGTTTTGTTTGGGGCTGAGGAGGGTGGGGTTCCACCTTGGAGAGAGAGAATGACAGAACAGAAAGATACTTTTTGGTTGACAGTCAGTCAGCCTGTCTGCCCTGCCCTCTCAGGAGTGAATATGGAAGGGTGGACAGGTGGGAATGGCCATGAGGAGTGTCTGGGGAGGAGGTGCACTGCTGTGGGAAGCCTCCACCTACAACAAGGATGCTAATTCTTCCTTCAATAAGTAAAAAGTATAGAATTACATACAGTAGCTGCATTAGAAGCTGGATTTAGATAAACTCAGATATGGGTGAGATTATATAATCATGGTGTAAAGTGTAAATTTCAAGGGTAGGAGTTGAAGGTGATGCCAAACTAAAAAAGGGGCTCATCAGCATCTTTGTTTCGCTGTCCCTGAACACCAGATAAAGGCACTTAGCTAGCTGTTCTCTCATCTCTTGAGTGTTATGCATTATTAAAATCTAGCATTTTTCACTGTGTGTGTGTAGAGCAAGCATTTCAATGTGTGTGTGTTTTGTGCACACTTTCGTGTATATAGCGTATACTTGTGCATGTGCACCTTCCTCTGTGTATTTATCAGCTTGTGTGCATATGTTCATGTGCCTCCATTTCTGTATGTGTGTGGGTGTGTGTTGTGTCTATGGTCGCTGGCCAGCCATGGATGCAGCTAACTCACCCGTACAAAGCTGGCAGGGAACCATCCTTCCTCCTCATCAATCTGGCCCCACCACCAGTCCTTGTTGGAGGCGTCCAGCACCTTGATGACGTCACCGGCCTTAAACGCCAACTCCCGGTCCGCCATGGTCACATGGTCCCATACCGCCTCAGCGTTGACGATTGAACCTCCACTTATCAACTGGAGAAATCGGAGGGAAAGAAAGGCTACATCTTACGCTTTATTCTCATTCCATGAAGCCACAGTTGCGGAAACAACATGAACAGCTCTGCAGACACAGACCAATAAGTATGGATCCATGTGATCAAAACCAGCATTGAAATTAAACTTGAAAGTGATTGTAATTCAATTCTCTGCCTCATTTTAGCCTCGATGTGTGTGAATCCTTGTTGTTAAACCCACTCAGATTACTAATGGATGCAAATACACACCCTCAAAGCCAGGGCCCACTGGCTGCTTAGGGATTGCAAATAGAACAACACAATAGCCAACACAGTCCACAGTACAACACAACAAAATACAACAACACAATAAAGGCAGAGCCATTAGTGGAGAAACAACACAGCATTCAGAAGCACAGCACCAGTCTCCACACAGGGACTGTAATTGGCCCATTATGACATTAGAATAATTACATGTGTTAATGTAATATAAATGCTGAGGAGCAAACAAATGTGAAGGGATAATCTCCCTTCCTTCATGCTGTCATCAGGGCTTGTTATTTCATCTGCAGCACTTTGACAAAACATGGAAGGATGACTCAACATATCTTTTCTATTGATTTTAGCATTGTGAATAAATAATGAGGACATTATACAACACTGAAAATAAATGTTTAAATTGTACAACTGTGCGCATGTACATGAGCAGAGTATATGTTAGGTGCATGCATTGGGTGTAGTCTGCAGGGTCAGGAAAGCGTAGGTCAGGTGATCAGTATCCTTTAGGGCATTTGGAAAGGCTAAAGGTTTAAGGGACAAGAGACAGCAGACGATGTGAGTCTGAGTCTGACATCATCCATCCACCAGACAGCCTCACCATCCATCACACTGAGGACTTAGCTTTGTTTCCTTGGAGCATACACAAACACACATACATTACAGGCACACGTGCAGCCACACTTTTAACTTTTAACAAATTAAACCCCTGTATGGCACAGCTCCAACTGTTTGTTCCAATTGTTTCACTCCAAAGTAGTGTTCAGCAGCATTCTCCAATCCAGAGCTAACCATGCATCCAGTCCCTGGGGCTGTGGGCAGAGCAGCCAGTGCTAACCAAGCCTGACAGGAGCTGCTTAGGCTCTAGGTAAGGAGTAATCAAAGGCCTGGAGACAGGGATGTCGCATGAACGGACAATAAATTAGTTCTTTACTTGTACTAAAGCTTTTGCATATTAGCTACTGTTATTTTCTAAATTGAGCTAGTTATGCTTTTTCCTGCAGTACTTTAATATTGCTTTGCCTCTTCTAAAATAAATCCCTTGATGGGAAAAACCTTTAAAATGGACTTCATCACTCCAGCACAAAAATGCTATTCCACCTATGCGCTGATGCAGTGTATTAGAACGTCCATGAAAAACAGCTGGTTGTTTGCACGCATCCGAACCCCCCATCAGGATCCAAGCGCCCAAGACTCTGTAGCTACGCTGCCCCTTCAACCTGTAGACAAGTGTACTTCCCTGATGGCGCACTGAGACAGCTACAGGGGATATAAGCCAATCAAGACAGACGGGTGAACATAGGGAGGGACGACCATGCCCGGAGGGGAAAGAACGGCCGTCGTCATGGCGACAGATGAGGATGCTTCACTGGTATTGACAAGATGATGAGGATGAGGCAAGGACACTTCAGGATGCACCCGAATAATTCCAAATTTAGGCTTGTGTGCCTTTGTGAGCAGATCCACACAAAGAGGGACCACTGAGTAACTGCAATAGCACTCTGCGATTAAATATTAAAACGGCAAACCAATCACATTAGAGAATCCAGTAACATGATCATTTCCATGTCAGTGTAAAATGCAAAGGTACGTAGTGTGGGCCTCTGCATACAGGTTTTAGAACAAATATGTCATGAGTATGTTGATTCAATCAGGCATCACATAGGGCTGGGAGCTGGGGTAACAATAGCTTTAGCCCATATCTCCAAGCTCTCCACTAATGGAAGAGAGGAGGATTACTGCAAAAACATGTGTCACGCTGCCATGGAAACAGTACAAGAATAGAAGTCAAAAAGATTTTTAAAATCCTTGTTGATTCAGGAAAAGGAATTTGACTTTAAATCATTTATTACACAGATGGATCGTTTAGAAAACACATACAGGAATAGCTAGTGGTAGCCAAATCAGTTTTACTTGTCCATCACGTCAGACATCAGGACCTTGGCCTGAAACAGCACCAACAGAACAGATGAGCCTTGGCACTGAGGTCAGTCTTGCTTCTTGCTCCTTGACTGTAATGTCTGCTTGTCCTAATCCACACCCCAGCCTGCCTCCTCCAACACACCCACCCCCCTCCCCCCAGCACCACTCCATTTTCAGCCCCATTCACTCCGAGCACAATCTCTCCAGTCACCATCAATCTGCTGTAATATAGGCTACAGACAGAAAGAGTGAGGGAGAGAGACAGATAGAGATCCTTTCACAGCCAATGTTCCTCCCTGCTCAGTCCTCTCCTTCTCTTCATCCCTCCATCTCTCTAATAAGATCAGCACTGCCCTCTCAAATACATTGCAACCTTTTTGCCTCTACATGTTGGAATAAATTAAAAGCATTACATAATCAATCTTCCCAATTCCCGCCTTAGCACAACCTCATACCTAGCTTGATCAAAAGGCACTCAGTAAACATACTGTAGTCTCACAAACACAGAGAAGTCTTGCCACAATACTCATCATCACCTGTGTGCCTACCAGCTGTAAGGACCTATGTCATCATTATGGTTACACTGCAGTTACAACATCAAAGATCAGAGGGCGAAGCAGTCGTCTTTAAACCGCAAAACCTGTATTTGGGTCAATGCAAATGAATGCAGAGGAATCTATCCCTATAAGTGGACATATATGAAAATACTGTCTGTTTCACGTTCCGGCACAGACATTGAGACTGAAAAGGAAATATGTAAGAATAAAGAGCCGATTCACTCGCTTATATCATCTTTGCAGCACAACACATCAGCATTCACTGCACTGGCAGCTCCACTGCATTCCAACATCCTCCTCTATCTCTAGCCATAGCACATCTGCACCAAAGCACCTACAGCATCCCTGAGCATACACACACACACACACACACACACACACACACACACACACACACGCACACGCCTTCAGTCAGCCTTACCATGTTTGTGACATGTAACTGTTCAGAGAGCGTATGCATGGAGAAGTCCGGCTCATACAATCATGATAATAAAATCTCTTTTGGAAGTGGTCGTAGCGATGGTCCTCCGCAAGAGCCGAGCCTGCGATGACGAGTAACAAGGTGCTGTATTCCAGAAAGAGGCTTCTCTTTCCGACGCACTGAGTGAGTCTCGCGGTCCGTCCTCCCTGTGTCTGCCAACCCTGTTATGTAATACACTCATACCCTGAGTCTGGGAGCCAATCAAAGATGCTCTGCCTAAAACCCGGTGAGAAATACACACACATCCTCACACACACACACACACACACACACACACACAAACACTGTTGTCTCGCTTGCACGCACCATCCGCACATTGACACTTCTGACAGCACAGCATTTAACAGAACTCTATTAGAAGGCACCTGCGCTGGAGGGATCACAAATGTGTGAACACTAGGGACGTGTGCACCACTCTGATTCAAAGAGGAACTACAGATAACACCCACCTGGCCTATCTCACACACACACGCAACTTAGCATGCTCACATGCTTACATGTGAATGCACATCTATAAGTGGCACTGTGTTATCACTGCTAGCCAACTGAGCCATAACCACCGCAGTACACAATATTATGATGCTATGTTTACAGTCCTGTGGGGGTCCCCACTAGGAAGGATGCTCTGACTCTGTATCACAGTGATGAAAACACCAGCCCACATGCCACTGCATGTGATGGCCAAACTTTTCTTTCTCTACCATTATTACAACATTTACCACTTAACTAGACACACACAGGAAACACACAGCACTTAAGAGTGTGAGAGAGCACATACAGTATCTTCAAGAAACTGAGCCAGCCTAACATACCTATTAATAGGACTGTCATGGATGGCTCTGGGATAGGCTTTTAGCATATCTATTTCTGACATTCATTCAACATTCATGACACCTGCCTCCAATCCTTTATTAGATTATGCTACTGCATGCGGGGAAAAAAGGAAATAAGCATTTTTATCTCCACCTGCACTAGGAAGAAATTTCATCTGTGAGAAATATGCACATATACTATGGTCAACGCCTGGCCACTATTTGTGTAATAATGTCAGGTTGAAATGTTACAAACAGGAGTATTGTGAATATTGTGGGCTATGAAATGGGAGCTGAGTTTAGCTGCATCTAAAATGGGGGAAACCTGGAGTGACAGAGGCCCTCCTTTATTAGGCCTAGCCCTGGCTGCTATTGGTTACTGTTCTGCTGAGATTACAATGATCCTCTAGCATATATGATCACTAGCACAAACCTCTCACTTGCACCGCTATTTGCTACAAATATCACATTTACTTCAGAGGAGAGATCACTGCTCAGCTATCAGCTGCCATATTGAGGATGTGGCTACAGTGGATCACAATAGGAAAACAAGTCCTGACGCAGCAGCAGGCTGTTGTTAAAAATACCATCACACTCATTTTTTCATCTAAAATTTGAATTATTACAATAACAAATGTATCTATAGGTATAATCAACAAAATACAACATGGAGGAGAGAGGGAGATCGACGTAGGGGGGGGGGGACATGTTTATATGCGGGGAGATATGAATTTCCAGTCACCACAGAAAAGGTAAGAGCATTACAGATCTGTATCCGCACAACTACGACCAGCACCAGACAACACTAGCTATCACAAACGGTGTGAGGACACAAGACATAACGAAGGATTGGGGAGGGGGTAACAGAAATACATTATGTTGTACCAACGTCATTCATTTCAACGCGTAGCCGTGCTGGAGCGCCGGGTGTCCCCGCTCTCGACCAACGCGCACTGCCTTTCTCTCCTCT